CAGTATGATGATACTTAGAATCCATGTTTCCAGCATCTATATAAATAAAAATGTAATGTTTGTTTGTGGGATTAACAGAACTCAAAAACCACAGGACGAATTGCTGCCAAATTTGGCCACAAGATCCCTATTAACCCAAGGAGTGACCATCACTAAAAAAAGTTGATTTTGTCATTTGGGAGTTGTAGTTTCTGGGATTTATAGTTTACTTACAATCAAAAAGCATTCTGAACTCCACCAATGATGGAATTGAACCAAACGTGGCACACAGGACTCCCATGACCAACAGAAAACACTAGATGGGTTTGGTGGGAATTGTGTTGATGTGAGTACTGTGCGTTCTTGGGAGAGTAAGTTTAAAGATGCTGAGGTGGGAACATCTGACTTGCGTGATGAACAAAGAGTTGGATGTCCTGTGACAGCAACCACCGAGTTTCACACGCAAAAGGTTGACAGATTGATTCAGGACGATCGTCGTATTACTGAGAGAGAAATATCAAGCATAATTGGCATTTCACAGGAACGTGAAATGGAATATAAATATTCCACATGGCTCTGTAAACTACTGACAACAAATGAAAGCTATTATGTACATGATTGTTCTAAATATGAGAGGCTATTTCCTGTTTAACACTGTAGCTTTACAACTTGGTTATTGCTTTGCTTGGCTATCAGAAGATCTGTGCACAATGGGTACCCAGGAGGAGAGAAATGTGAGATGCTGGTTGCGGAAACAGAGTGTCAACTTCTTCTGTGACGGCTTCAGAAAACTTGTTCATTGTTGGCAGAAATGTATCCAATTGTCTGGTGATTATGTGGCAAAGTGAATAGTGGTATTTAAGGAGCACATTCTAATGATCATTTCTTCGTTTGATTTATTAAAATATTCCCATCCAAACCCAAGTAACAAAGGTGGAGGCATTATATTCATTCAGAAAGTAGCAGTTGTTACTCTGGAAACCAGAGCCCTTTGTTTTGCATCATTACCTTGACAACAGTTCTGAACCAGCCCAGTGCTGCTCACAGACTTCTTAGACTTGACTGCTGGCAAGTGTGCCTTTGGGCTCTTCTGCGAGTGACCTAGGTTTATTCTATTGTTTCTTCCTGTGTGGCTATAACTGTGAGCTCATTAACATCTTGAGATTGTGGCACTTCACAGATGGTTCAGAGTAAGTACTGACCTTCCAGTTTGGTGGCAACTGTGATCCCATGGAGCAAGGCAGGGTGGATGAGTCAAGAATCAGGGAATCAAAGGGCAGCCCAACCTCTACGTAACCCACCCTTGAAAAATGCCCTCTGGGAAGCAGCATTGGTAAGGACAAAAAGTTGGTGGAGAAGCACAGGAAGAGTATATTTAATTTAATTTATTTATTTGTGGCATTTATATGCCGCCCTTCTCACCCCGAAGGGGACTCAGAGCGGCTTACAAGATATATTTTCATACAATATATTGTATTATTAGCATAGTACAATATCAGTATTCTATATTACTATATTTATTTATTTATTTATTTACTGTATTTGTATACCGCCTTTCTCAGCCTATCGGCGACTCAAGGCGGTTTCCAACAAAACAGTATACATAGTATCATAAAACAATTAAAACATTACAATTACATAAACCACAACAGCAATAAAAACAACATCATTGGCGTCTCATTGTCAAGCAATGTCCAGTTCCATCGTCAATCATCAATTTCCTATATCATTTATCCATATCCATTACTCTGTGTTTGCAAACGCTTGCTCAAGCACCCACATTTTGACTTGCTTCCGAAACGTTAGGAGGGAGGGAGCAGATCTAATCTCTCAAGGGAGGGCGTTCCATAGCTGGGAGGCCATCGCTGAGAAGACCCTGTCTGTCGTTCCCGCCAAACGTACCTGAGACGAAGGTGGGACCGAGAGCAGAGCCACTCTGGACGATCTCAAGTTTCTAGATGGTTCATAAGGGGAGATATGTTTGGACAGGTAAGTTGGGCCAGAACCGTTTAGGGCTTTAAAGGTTAAAACCAGCACTTTGAATTGTGCCCGGTAGCAAACTGGCAGCCAATGGTATATTGCACTATACCATTGTATTGTAATATTATTAGTAATATTACATGTAATGTAAATATATAAGTATAATTATAATATTGTATTATATTATTGTAATATTGTATTATTAATATTATATTGTATTACATTATAATATTAGAAATATTATATGTATATACAATATACTATATTATATTATATAAGGTGATGGTGGAGGGGGGTAGAAGTGTCCTGCCTCCATTTCCTGTTACAACTGTCCCTGTCCTCTCCCTGGCACATCCCACTCCATAACAACAACAACAACTTTATTTTTATACCCCACCACCATCTCCCCAGGTGGCTTACAAAGGGACAAGCCTGCAAATACACAGTAAAACATACACAATAAATTAAAATGAAAACAAATTAAAATCAACAATAACAAGGGTAGTGTTCCATGAAAAGGAAAAAGGAAGTGTTAATTGAGATTAAAATCTGTTGCATGACAAAGCTACATGTCCACATTAGAGTAAATCCCATTGAAAGGAAGTGGGGCTGACTTTTGAGTAAAAGGAACAGAATTACAAACAGCTGAACATGGACCCACCAAAAAGGCTGCTCAGTGGGTAGAGAATGGTATGTTGACTGATTGAGAGGGGCAGGGAGAGAATGAAGTGCAATGAGGGTGGAAAGGAGAAGAGGTGTTAAAACACACCTGACATGGAACAAAAGAAATTTGTTTCCAAAAGGGGACATAATTACCTGTATATTCCGGCATATAGGACAACTGGGTGTATAAGACGACCCCCAACCTTTCCAGTTAAAATATAGCGTTTGGGATATACTCGCTGTATAAGACTACCCCTCTTCCAACACACACCAAATAAAAATTTAAAAAGCATCAGATTTGATTTCAACATGGTAATTTTCCTATTACTGTACCTCCTTCTCTGCCTCTCAGATCTTGCACATGCGCACCTGCACCACTTCACTGCAGTCTTCAGGAGCGAGATCTGAGAGGCAGAGCAGGAGGTACAGTAATAGTATACAAAGGCGGGCCAGACAGGTTTTTTTTTTTTGTCGTGTCAGGAGCAACCGCTCCTGTTGTGAGAGAATTGGCCGTCTGCAAGGACGTTGCCCAGGGGACGCCTGGATGATTTTTGATGTTTTATCATCCTTGTGGGAGGCTTCTCTCATGTCCTCGCATGAGGAGCTGGAGCTGATAGAGGGAGCTCATCCGCCTTTCCCTGGATTCGAACCTGCGACCTGTCGGTCTCCAGTCCTGCTGGTACAGAGCTTTAACCCACTGCGCCACCGGGGGCAGACAGGTAAAAGAGTTGTGTTTTTCTGGGCCCAGAGCCACTCTATCTCTTTTTTTCCAAAAGGTCGTAGGTTTGAATCCGGGGAGCGGCGTGAGCTTCTGCTGTCAGCCCAAGCTTCTGCCAACCTAGCAGTTTGAAAAAATGCAAATGTGAGTAGATCAATAGGTACCGCTCCGGCGGGAAGGTAACGGCCAGGCCTGTAGCGAGGGGGTGGTTTTAGGGGTTCAAACCCCCCGAAATGTTTCAGATTTTTTTAAAAAACCTGGTTTACTCATGAATTTTAACTGGTTAACCAAATCCCCATGCTAAGTCTATGAGATGCAAAAAATTAAGAGTCCCTCCAGAACTGCAAGCACTATCTCAAGCAAATATTGACAATTTATTCACACTGTCATTGCTTTCAGCAATAGCCGATGTAGTGAAGCAACCAAGTTGGGGGTTTGTGTGTTGAATGCTCTCATTAAGGAGGCCAGACTTGGTGGAGGTGGTTGACAGGGGTGGAGCTGCAGGCTATTGAAGGCTGCTCTGCCCCCTGCTGTGCTCTTTGCTTCAGCGTGAGCTAGGAGGCAGGTTTCAGACCCCCCCCCCAAATTTTCAATCCCCCCCCGCAAAATTTTCAACCCCTCCCAAAAATTTTTTCTGGCTATGGCCCTGGTAACGGCACTCCATGCAGTCATGCTGGCCACACGACCTTGGAGGTGTCTATGGACAATGCCGGCTCTTAAAAATGGAGATGAGTGCCACAACCCAGAGTCAGACATAAGTGGACTTAATGTCAGGGGACTACTTTTACCTTTACCTAACCCAGGCAGAATAACCCAGTCTGCTTTGAACTGGATTATCTGAGTCCACACTGCCAAATATTCAGGCACGTCTGGCGGGGATGAGAGAAAGGGCCTTCTCGGTGGTGGCCCCCCGGCTGTGGAACGACCTCCCTGCTGACATCAGACAGGCGCCTTCCCTTCTGTCCTTCCGTAAGAGCCTGAAGACCTGGCTATTTGAGAAGGCATTCAACTGAGCGCTACGGCAACTGGTAATTGACAACTGGAACGGAATACGGATTACGATATTGGTTATGATTCTATGATGTGACGGAGCGGATTATTTAGTGTAACCAGATTATAGTGTATTATTGTTGTATTGATTCCCTGTTTTGCCCTTTTTGTAAACTGTTTTTATATGTTGTGCACCGCCGCGAGTCGCCCTAGGGCTGAGAGCGGCGGTCAATAAATGCAGTAAATAAATAAATAATAAATAAATATATCCCAGTTCAAAGCAGATATGGTGGGATTTTCTGTCTTGATATTCTGGGTTATACAGCTGTGTGGAAGGGCACCCAAGTCCACACATCTCTATATCCCAGAATACCAAGGCAGAAAATCCCACCATATCTGCTTTGAACTGGATTATCTAAGTCCAAACTGCCATATATTCCAGTTCAAAGCAGATATGGTGGGATTTTATTCAGCTGTGAGGAAGGGGCCTGAGGGTCGCCAAATGTCAAGAACCAGGACAAGACAAACCAAGGAGCTCCCACAGCACAGCACAGCACAGCTTCCTTTGACGCTCAGCCCCGCCTCCTCTCTCGCGACCGCGTTTATCCCCGCCCCCAGGTCCTCGCTGCCTGTCTCCAGCTGCGTCTTTCGTCACTTCCGCTCCGGCTCACGCTTACGCAGTCGTGCGCCCGCTCTTCCCCGGTTGCCATGGCGGCCGGCCTGAGCGGGATGTTCGGCACCCAAGGCCCGGTCCCTCCACCACCGCCGCCGCCTCCTCCACCGCCCCCTCCCGTGGCTCCTGGCGGACCGGGCCCGGCCGGGCTCCTTCCCCCGAACCCCGCGGGGCCGAGGAACCCTAACAGCACCCTGGTGGACGAACTGGAGGCCTCCTTCGAGGTGAGGAGGAAGCGGCGGAGAAGGGACGACGGGCCTCGAAGCTGAGGCGAGGAGTAGAAGGGCCTCGGGGGGGGGGGGGGGGGGGGGGGGGGGGGGGGTAGGGGTAGGTGTGGAGGCGCCTCGCGACGCTGTAAAGACTTCCTCCAGAGCAGACTGGCGCGTTTTAATTGTGGCTCCTGCTTTCCCATTGGAAACCCTTTCTGCTGAGAATGGCATGGAAAATTCCTCCCTGGTTGGGAAACCTAGGTTCTGGACGTGGCTGAATGCGGGACAACACAAGCTTTTGCGCTGTCACACAATGGATCCCAGCTGTTTTGGGCCTTATCTCCCAGAAGCCCCAGCCAGTCTGACATGCGGTCACGAATGCTGGGAGAGGAAGTCCCAAAATATTAGGGAAACGCTGGAACTTACTTCAGGTTATTGTAGGTGTTTTCGGGCTACATGACCTTGTTCTAGAGCAGGGGTCCTCAAACTTTTTGATCAGAGGGCTAGGTCACAGTCCCTCAAAGTGTTGGAGGGCCAGATTATAATTTGAAAAAAATATATGAATGAATTCCTATACACACTGCACATATCTTATTAGTAATGCAAAAACACTTTCAAACAATACAATAATTAAAATGAAGAACAATTTTGACAAATATAAACTTATTGGTATTTCCATGGGAAGTGTGGGCCTGCGTTTGGCTGGTGCCATAGGATTATTGTTGTTGTTGTTGTTGTTGTGTGCTTTCAAATAATTTCAGACTTAGGTTGACCCTGAGCGAGGGCCGGGTAAATGAGCTTGGAGGGCCGCATCTGGTCCCTGGGCTTTAGTTTGAGGACTTCCCTGTTCTAGAGGCATTCTCTCCTGACGTTTCACCTGCATCTATGGCAAGCATCCTCAGAGGTTGTGTCTACGCAAGGATCACCAAATGCAGCGCCTAAACACGAATTGAAGAACATGAAAGGCACTGCAGATTACTTCAACCAGAGAAATCAGCCATAGCAGAGCACCTGATGAAGCAACCTGGGCACAGCATTTTATTTGAGAACACGGAAATGCTGGACCACTCTCACAACCACCATGTCAGACTACACAGAGAAGCCATTGAAATCTACAAGCATGTGGACAATTTCAACAGAAAGGAAGAAACCATGAAACCATGCTAATCAAGGTGGTCAGTTGAAACATTCACACCTAGTTCCAGCAGACAAGAGTACTTTGCCCCACCCTGATCATTCCACAGATATATAAACCCACTTTCCTAGTTCCAATAGACCTCACAACCTCTGAGGATGCTTGCCATAGATGCAGGCGAAACGTCAGGAGAAAATGCCTCTAGAACATGGCCATATAGCCCGAAAAAACCTACAACAATCCAGTGATTCCGGCCATGAAAACCTTCGACAATACCGATTATGATTATTGGATATTCTTACATTTCTCCATTGTCGAAAGCTTTTAACATTTAGGGCAGACTGCAGTCCCTTCTTCACTGTCATGTAATCCAGATTATCAAAGCAGATAATTTGGATTTTAAATGCCAGTATAGAAGGGGCCTTCCTCATCCGACTGTCCTCCAGAGAATTTGGACTTCCTTCCCATCTAGCAAGGAGCATGATGCAAAATATGGAATGAATGAATGCATATTTTTTTATTTCAGTCAATGACCAGTATTGAAATATGGAGGATTATAATTCAGAATATCAGAGTTGGGGCACTACATGTTCTGCCTCCATTCTTGAGCTTGATGTAACATGTCTGTGGGCCCTTCCACACAGCCATATAATCCAGAATATCAAGGCAGAAAATCCCACAATATCTTCTTTGAATTGGGTTATCTGAGTCCACACTGCCATATAACCCAGTTCAAAGCAGATAATGTGGGATTTTGTACAGCTGTGTGGCAGGAGCTTGTGGGTCTGCTCTGACAGATAATACTATAATAACAAAATTTTAAAAGCATTGTTTCCTGTGTAATTGTGCGATACTTACTTTGAAAGTAGTTGTTCTACTCCAGAAACTTCATTTTTGTTGCTGCTACAAACTATGTTGAATTGGTTGAGACTCTATTCTATGAGAAATTCATTGGAAAACTATAACAAAATGTGCTGCAGAATGTCCAGCATGAATCAAGTTTTTGCAGTTTAATAAACTTTACCCTTTTTTATGATAGAACCAATTAGGAAATTACATTTTTAATCCAGAAACAAAAATTGTGTTATATGGTGTAATTAGACTTCCCAGTTCTGCATTGATTGTTCCTTTAGGACAGTGGTTCTCAACCTGTGGGTCCCCAGGTTTTTTGGCCTACAACTCCCAGAAATCCCAGCCAGTTTACCAGCTGTTAGGATTTCTGGGAGTTGAAGGCCAAAACATCTGGGGACCCACAGGTTGAGAACCACTGCATTTCTGAATTGCATTGGTTGCGATCCTACATCACCAAATATAGCAAAGAAGCTCCATGGCACAACTATGCTATGGCTCCCTTCTCACTCGCTGTTTGACTGCGAATGCCTCCACGGCCATTCAGTGACCAGAGGCATCCACTGTGAAGCATCAGGGGATGATATACTTTCTTCTCTACCCCCCCCCCCCCCCCCCCCCCTTATGGAATTTCTTTCAGGCCTTGAATGCCCAATGCCCAGATGTTGACCTATGCATGTGTGTGCTTCTTACAGGATAATCTCGGTTATCTGTTAGCCTTGAAGATGGATCTGTAGTATAGAAAGCTTGCAGACTTCTTGACCCCCTTTGTCTTGATCCTTTTTGCATTTTCTCTTTCCCATATAACTCATTTGCAGGGGCGGCTCAACCCATTACGCAAAGTAAGCATTTGCAGTATAGTTGATTTTGCCCAGGGGCACTCTTGAGGCACTCTTCGGGGAAAATAGACCTTGACATATGTGAGGTGTAGTTACTGGGATGTATACTTCACCTACAATCAAAGAGCATTCTGAACTCCACCAATGATGGAATTGAACAAAATATGGCACACAGAACTTCCACGATGAACAGAAAATATATATCATTGATTGGTTTTTTTTTTTTGGGGGGGGGGGGCAAAATACTGTTTGCTTACCATTGAAAATTACCTAGGGCCGCCTCTGCTCATTTGTTTATGTATTATATGCAGGAGTAGCTGTAGTGTTAGTGCAATGTCCCACTCTGACACTAAGAGTGATGCTTCATGCATCTGGTAAAGTAGACTTGTACTGTTTCTACTTTGCAGCTTATTTTTCAAGAATCTCAGCTGAGTGGAAAGTTTTGTAAGACATAATATCACCATATATATATGAATGAATAACCAATGCTTGGAAGAGTGGGTTTTTTGTTGTTGATAGCTCATAATGGAAAACCCTTTTTTCATGGTCACCCTAAACAGTAAATTAGTAAAATAAAACTTGATTACATGGGGTGCCAAATGAGTTGTTCTTGAATACAGAATCATGTCATTAAGGCCCTTTTAATCACTTTCTCATTTGTTTTAATTGGTGAATAAATCACAATTGTATATGTTTATGAATACAATGCATTTTCTTCACAATGATGCATATCCTGTTCATAATAATTGTTAATACATATTTATTTAATAACCTAGGCCTGCTTTGCCTCCCTCGTGAGTCAAGATTATGTGAACGGTACAGACCAGGAAGAAATTAGAACTGGTAAGCCTATGTCTGTCCTTTCTTTTTACCTTCACAATTTTATTCCTTTTGATTTCTCCTCTTCTTGTGTTGATTTTTATTTTGATGATGTGAGTGTGGTACTGCTGCCTTGAAGTCTTTGGAGTAATAAATACTTAGATCATTTTGGTTAAGGGGAAACAATAGAACTGTAAAATTTATAGCTGCGATCACTTCAATACTGCTTGAAGCAAAGGTGAATTCTATGTCTCCATCTCCACTCATAAAATCAGAAGCAAGGGATCTTTCAATTTCTTCTTCTCACCTTGTAGTTGAAGCACCAACTTGAATTATGGTTATTGTGAAAGGGCTCCCTCTTCTCTGGCCAGCTATTTTGGAGATATCCCACCTTTCTTTGATATCCCACAAATAAATATAAATAATGTTTAATTCTGCTGCCATCATACAATGTAAAGGAATGAATCTGCCAGGTGAAGGTGTTTTAATATCTTTGCCACCTTTTCTACTCCTTTAGAGGTTTGAAAGTGAGAGAGACTTTGCTTAAAGTAAAACAGTAACTGTTGGTTTTTGTAACAAAAGCGTGATGGTTTCAGAAGTATATATGCTTGGTGGTTACAGATGAGGTAAATATTCTTTTATGAAGACGTTACAAAGCAACGTTTCAGCGTAACTTTCATTCAAGCCTTTCCTCTTTCCTAAAAGGCTTTTAACATTAACACATGAAAACTGGTTTCCAACAGTCTTTGACCTGACAGAGATCCTGATAACTTGGTACTTTTAAAATTTCTCTACTGTCACTAGCTCCTTGCTATCAGTCAACTATCTTCGCTATTCCCTAGCCAAGTTTCTATTTAACTTCAGCTAACTTCCCTAACTGACTCCAGCTAACTGACCAACTGACATAAAATGTTCAGCTGGGCTTCTCCAACTGTCATCCTTGGCTCTACCCACCTTTCAAATCTTTGCACCCCGCTCATTTGCATCCAGCCAATCAGGTCACTCTCATGCAAATAGCTTCTCCACTGGTGCCGCTGCTCCCTGAGAGCCAAAAAATGGCTGCTCACACGCCGACCTTTTAAGGTAGGCCACGTATCAACTTTCTAAGATGAGTTAGATCCATTACAGTTACGGTTATAGACACATTTTCCCTAAATTCCTAATGATGTGATTCTGTCAGAATTTGTATAACATGCAACTATTTTTGCTATATTTCACTATAAATGCCACTCCATTTCTTGAATAAAACATTGTAATTATATGACTCAGAGTTCCAATTCCAATTTAGCTTAGTTATCTCAAATACTGAAATTTTATAAGTTACTAGCCTGTATATGGAGCCCCCCAGTGACGCAATGGGTTAGATCTCTGAGCTGCTGAACTTGCTGACCAAAATGTCAGCTGTTTGAATATGGGGAGCGGGATGAGCTCCTGTTGTTATCCCCAGCATCTGCCAACCTCTCAACCCTATAGAAAACTTTTGGAGGGAGTTGAAAGTCCGTGTAGCCCAGCGACAGCCCCAAAACATCACTGCTCTTGAGGAGATCTGCATGGAGGGATGGGCCAACATACCAGCAACAGTGTGTGCCAACCTTGTGAGGGCTTACAGAAAACGTTTGACCTCTGTCACTGCCAATAAAGGATATATAACAGAGTATTGAGATGAACTTTTGTTATAGGCCAAATACTTATTTTCCGCCATAATTTGCAAATAAATTCATAAAAAACCAGACAATGTGATTTTCTGGATGTGTTTTCTCATGTTGTCTCTCATAGTTGAGGTCTACCTATGATGTCAATTACAGGTCTCTCTCGTCTTTTTAAGTGGGAGAACTTGCACAATTGGTATCGACTAAATACTTTCCCCCTCCACTGTATATTGTTTTACTATATGTAGTTTCCTTGTTCATGCATTCCACATCCCATGTTCCTATAATATGTGCTGTGCAGCTTCTTAATTTTGTTATATTAGACACAGTGCTACCTGTAGTTGTTTTCTGCTGTACTCCAATGATAACTGATCTAGGAGCTTTTCTGGCACTATCTCTTGTTTCATTTTTAATTGTCTCATCATAGCAGTAAAAGACAGCCAAAAGGTGTTTACTGTGCTTCCTTCTGCACAGTACTAACAACCTATAGTATTACTGCTATTGCTACCCCCTCCCTGCCCCCGCTACTGCCTAACAGCTGTTTGGCACATTTAGTCTAGTTCCTCAGCAAAAACATGCCTGAAATGGAATCTTACCAGTAGCATTACTGTCAGCACTGCATCTTGCTGCACACAAACACCAGTATCACAGTGATAGCTTACATATTTGTATTCATTCAGAAAGTGGCAGTTGCTGCTCTAGATTCCAGGACCCTTTGTGTTTACATAGTTGTCATGACATCAGAATTCAGAACAAGTCCAATGCTGCTCGCTGACTTTCCTGCCACTGCTGTTCTCTGAGAGATCCTCCACCAATGTGACCCTATATTGCTGCTACTGCCCAGTAGATGTTTGGCACATCTAATCTGGCTCCTAAGGCAAAGCCTGTCTGACATGGGAGCACTGCTGCCATCAGCATAGCTCTTGCCTCACAGTAGCATACAATGCCATCACCATGGAAATGTAATGCCAATGGTAATATTTTCCAGTTTTGGATTTATTTGAAAAACAGAAGGGCTTGTCTGTCTATAGGGCACTAATCATTCTACTTTAAAGGATATGGCTTCATCCTTTGGAATGCCATGGTTTGCAGTTTGAGGAGGCCTAGAGGTGAATACCTTCACCTGCCAAAAAAATCATGATTTCAGTGGAATGGAACCTTGGCAATTCAGATAGACTCATATTGATATTGTGTCTTGTGAAAGAGATCATTGTCAGATATTTTTAATTTTAATTATTTCACAAAGGATGAATATAGAACCTGCCTGTCCTCCTTTTAAGAAGCATGAGCTACAAAAACATTCAGTCAGGATTTTGATACACAGTATGAACCCTATACTTGCAGGGCCAGTATATACAATTTCACTATCCACACTCATCAAAAATACGTCCTCTGGAAATTTTTTAGGTTCTCTATAGTAATGTCTACTGGCGATCATTCTTTTCAATAGATTTCTCTATCACTCACATTTTCCTCTTTCCATTATAAGTACAGGAATGTGCGTCCCAATTGATGTGGGGGTTGTACTGTACTCTTAATTAGGTTTCTCCCCCAGTTTTAGACAACCAGGTGTTGCTTTCTTTTGACATACAAGTATAAATATCCAGTGTTGCTTGGGTGTTGGAAGTGCACTCCTGCTTGTTTTCTCCCTTCCACAGCTCAGACAACGCTTGCTTCGCAATGTCTTCATGGGCAGGCTCTTTTTGTGACTCTTTTCTTTCCATCCTTCATTTTCCCATTCACCTTTTCCCTCTTTTCTTCCTTCTTCCCTTGCTTTCCCTCATACACCTCCACCCTTTCTTTTTCCTCCCTCCTTCTTTCCTCCTTTTTCTTCTCTCTCCATGTTTATCCTCTTCTCTTTTGCTTTTTTCCTCCCTTCTCCCTCTTTCTTCCTGATTTTCTTCCTGCACCTTCCTTTCATACACCTGTTACCTACCAACAGCCAATCCGCTTCACTCCCTTTGTTTCTTACTCACATCACAGAGGGCCACTTCATTTAGCTACAGCCAATCCGCTTTTTCTTTTCCCCTGCTCTGAGCCTGAAAGGGTTGGGTGTTTTTAGTTCAAACCCCTCAATTATTTTAAGTTGGATAATGAAGGGTATGTGTGCCAGGTTTGGTCCAGATCCATGTAGAAGCCTTTGTGATGCAAATCAGCCATCATATAGGCATACATAAAATGACTTTTTTTAATATAGATGTTTAATTTTTAAAATGGACTGTAATCTCATTTATGCATGTTTTTCAGAATTACCAGAAGTCAAAATATTTTGTTTAGTACATTTGCCTAAATCCCATACTGCAAGTTTTGTAAACTTTCCTTGCTTGTCCTACAATTTCCATTTGAAATACTTTTCATGTTTTGTTGATCTTAACATTTTAGGTGTTGACCAGTGTATCCAGAAGTTTTTAGATGTTGCACGGCAAACAGAATGCTTTTTCCTACAAAAAAGATTGCAGCTGTCTGTCCAGAAACCAGAGCAAGTAATTAAAGAAGTAAGCACGCTGATTTTTCTTTATCTTAATGGTGACACCCAAACTTATAATAGAGTTTTTACAAAGCTAAGGGATTATATGAAGCGATCAGGGTAAAGTTGTGATTTACTTTTAGCATCTAAATTTATACAGCTTTAAAGTTGTAGGCTGAAATAGTTGTGGGGTAAGCAATCTATTATTTGTTCTTGATGAAATTCTCAGAAGCCTTTCCTAACATGGTGCCCACCAACTGTTTGGACTGTACCCCCCATCCTATTTTGTATTTCAAAGGATCTGGAGAGACCTAGATTATAGAAGGCTTAATTAATGTTCATTGTGTACAATAGTGAGAAAATAAGCAAAGAATCAGACATCCTTAGATCTGTTTTGCCTTTGCTGTAGACTTCTTACACCAGCCTGCCGTAAAGGGTTGTTATGAAATAGGTTGTTGCAAAGATGATAGGTGTAAAGTGCTGTGAACATATTTTGAAGTTAATATGTATGTCACATATAACTGTATATATACCTTATGTTAAAGCATATGGTAAGGAGGGGGGGGGGGTTGAAGTCGGAGAAAATATGCTTTGGAAGAAAGGTAAATAAAGCCTGGAAGTGTGTTACTAGGCTCCATTTCTGCCTTTCTTTTGTCATACAAAGTTTCCCTCTTTCGGCCTTCCGAGTCTTTGTAGCATGCTTATATTGTACAGATAGGTTGTAGGTTATCAGAACCAGCAATCAAAATTTGAGATCTAGGATAGAGAGCATGTATCACTGCAAGACAAGTATTTATTTGTAACATATTAGAAGTTTGTAAGACACAGCCTGAATTACAGCACATTTCCTTCGTTCACAAGGGATGTGCAACTCATTTCAGTGTAAAAGAAAGGATAACTTGCTCGAAGTGCTATTTCAGTTCCTTAGGGCTTGGATGTTCTTAGAACCTAAGAAGTTACAGTGGAGATCCGTGGTTGCTCATTATTTACTGTATGCCTGCTATTCCCATAGGATGTGTCAGAGTTGAGAAATGAACTACAGAGGAAAGAAGCCCTAATTCAGAAGCACTTGGGCAAACTGCGACATTGGCAGCAAGTTCTGGATGATATCAACATACAGCATAAAAAACCCGCTGAAATGCCTCAAGGACCTCTAGCCTATTTAGAACAAGCTTCGGCTAACATTCCTGCGCCCCTTAAGCAAACGTGAGCAAGAAGTATAATGCAAATGCTTGATTATACCCAGCAGAATGGATTGTTAAAATACAATTTACACATTTAAGCTTTATATGAGTTTTTTAAAACTGATGTGAAGGACTATTAAATAAGAATGAATTATGCCTTTACAGGGATCAGAGCAATGATCTCGGATTTGATACTCTCTCAGCCAAGGAAAGCTGAGAACAAGCATTTTTTTCTCTCAGCGGAATTACTTTCTGTTGAAAATGCAACTATCTCTGTAGTTCTGCATAAGCAGTATATGTATGTATGTATGTTATATATGTATTTAAAAAACCTTATAGTTGGTTCATTGTTTCCAAGAAAATGTGGTTGATTGATGGAACACACTATTATCAGGGATTTATACATACAATTAAGTGCCTGTGTGCTCAAGGCAGGTTCTGGCTCTCTGAATATTAGGCCACTGTGCTTCTTGATAGATTACTTTTAAAATTGAGTTTGGGATCAGACAAAGAAGAGAAAGGGTCAATGGTGCAAAGAAAATAAAATTCAGCAAGGACTTGTGCCAAAAAAGGCTTATTTGATTGCTCCCACTGTTTTATTCCACTGTGGGTCCTCACAATTTCTAACAGTGCTACTCCTTTTTAACAAAGAGCTCTATAGAACATGTTCTTATCCCTATTTTCTTTCAGCCCAAGGGGAAGATCAGAGTAGCCATGACTTGTTTTAAAATACCATCTCTTTAGAGAACCATCTTTGTCTGGCATCTCTGCTTCCGACATATTTTTCTTTTGTGTTTCAAGAAGTGTTCTTTTTTCTTGCCCCTGGTAACATGTTGCTCTCTATCTCTTGAAAATAGCTTCAGCATTGCATTTGACAACTCTTGTTATATAATGGGAGAAAAGAAATGCTCATCAAAATATATACTGAATTGTTGACAGAACTGTTTGCAAACTGAAAGTTGCTTTTTGATTATTTTGAATCAACAATTGGATAATAAATCATACAAAAACAAATCAGTGTCCACATAGTTTTATTTTAAAAAGCACCACATGATTGGCAACACTTTGGATTATTTCGTTTGATTTCCCTTGCAAATACATTGGTTTTTTTACATATATTTTCCAAGAATACTTGTTCTGAAAGGATTTCCCAGTTTTAAATATGATCAGTTGCTGTCACTGGATGGATTTTTTCTTAAATTGTTTCTTTGAAATAGCCAAGCACTTCACTTAAATGGATGTTATAATAAAATAATTGCTGCTTAACCCAGTAAAAAAGGTATTCCCAAATGTCATTGGGAGGTGTACCGCAGGGAATGGGCAACTAAAGTTCCATGAGGGAGGCCTACAAATTCAAGGGAAGGTGTACAGATCTTTGGGTGTTTTTGGTATAACGCATGTCGGTGACACATGCCAGTAAATAAACATTATTATTGGTGTGATACTAAATATTAAAATGGATTTAGTATTTAGATTTGTCACATAGTGCAAACGCAGTTTGAAAGATATACCTGGTTAGCAATAACCTACTTTTAATTTTACATTGATGCGCAACTACTAGAATTCAAAGAAATATTCTGGAATATCAGTATCTTCAGATAAAACTTTAGAGATTGAGAGAAGGCAGTTAGTAGCATAAACGTTCATAGACTAAATTAGTTTTCTCAGACACAGTTACTAGTAACAACTATGGTTACCAGGTTGAAAACTAGGTGGGGTTGCTATACGTAATACTGGGTGGAAATTTCCCATTCTACAAAAGTATTTCCCAGTGTCCTCTCTGGCAACTATTAACTTTTGTGATGGAGTGCCTATGTTCCAAAAAGTGTCAGGGCTTCTCCGTTGCTGAGGGTTACTCAGCTTTTCACTCTTATTGTACCCTTGTAATTTCTTGTCCACAACATTCATAAAGAGATCGCACTTTTTCTGAGATGATGAAAAGAGGAAATCCACACAACTGGGATTTTTCACATGTGTTAACCCTGCTCACTCTACTGAAATAGAGAGTTTAGGGAACTGGAGACTTGGAACAATATAAATAATATATTGCAACAATATAAGTATTCAGTCATGCATTTGATATAAATAGAAATAAATAGAAATTTAACTTTCAGTGTTGGTTAAAATCTATTGGAACAAAGTAAAAAGCACACTCGTATGACTGATTTCTAAACCAGTTTACTACAATCATTCCACTTCCAAATACTGTACAATATACATTTTAAAGAACCACTATTTATGTATAAAAAGGGATGCTGTATGGCAATGGCAACAAATAAATATTTAAAAAGTGGCCCTAAATTGGAAAGGAAATATGGGGAAATGTATTGTTGAAGGCTTTCATGGCCGGAATCATTGGGTTGTTGTAGTTTTTTTGGGCTATTTGGCCATGTTCCAGAAGCATTCTCTCCTGACATTTCTCCTGCATCTATGGCAGGCAGCCCCGGAGATTGTGAGCTCTGGGGAAAGTATATAGCTGTCCAAAGAGCTGTGTAGCTACTAGTCATAGTCACCAAAGTTTTTACTACAGCTGACAGTTAAGGCTGGGACTGTCAAGGACATGTGCCCTTTACATTAGGAGCTTCCTTGGAGACTCTTCCAAGTTCTGCTACCAGATGTGGTGGATGCTAAGTCAGAATCTAGTGTTATTTGGCTTTGAAATTCTCACATGAGTCTGATTTCTTTTCAGCACTTGGTGAAATTCCTGGTATCATCTTAGGTATTTCATATTGCTTTATTTTTGTCCTATGTTGCTTTTTCTATATACTGTTTGATTTAACTGTGTTTTACTGGTTTCTGTTTTATTGCTGCTATGATTTTAATTCTGCCTGGGGAATCTCATTGGGGTTGAAATTACTAAAATTAATAAAATCCCAAGTGGTACAGGCCCAGGCTGTTAAAGGAGTGCACCTTTCTCTATGAATCCCAGTCCTAGGAAACAAGATACAAAATAATAAAATAAATAAAAATTTAAAAAGCATTTAGTTAATTTTAAAAACAAAATATTAGCATATATTAAAACTTGCGATCCTTTTATAAGTAGTTGCAGAGTATCAACAATATGTATTTGCTAGTAATAGCACTGCTAATTTAACACATTGGTTTCTCAAACTGACCAAATTCTTCAAGGTGTCTGAGTTTGAACAGTAAACTTGTGGCTCGCTTACTTAGGCTGGTTTGTAAAATGCTGTGTAAAGGATATACTATAAACATTTAATTACATCATCAAAGACAGATATTATAGAAATGTTTTCGCTTAAAAAGAGAAATATTTCGTAAACCATTCCTGATGTCGAGGGTCTGGTTTCTCAGCATCTTTTGGGGTTGATATTTCAGTGTTTGGCAGCCTGAAAAAACAACAAAATAAATATGAATAGCTCACACCCAGTTCATATCCTAAATCTCTTATAGAAGAGGCATGCTGTCCATGATGGAGCAATAACTTGGAAGAGAAATGTCTGTGAGAGTAAAAACCTGTTCACTGCAAATGTTCTCATTAACTGAATCAGCGTAGAACTGGCAGAACTAAGCGAGGCCTAAATAATAAGTGTACATTTCACTTTTCTCTAGACACAGAATAGTATCATTTACAAATGGTTGACCTCAATTTAGATCCTGTGTCAAATGATTGGTTGCTGTAACCATGGTATAGAAGACCTCTGAATTATCAGTAGTACAAAAGGCAAATCCATGTCTGAAAGCTGCTTATCTGCTTTCATTTTCTCATCTACTCAGCAGTTGGGATCTGTGATTTCTGCCTGTTGCCATGGTGTGGCAAACCAATTTAACTGCTATGTGGCTGAGGAACTGAAATGAATTTCCGCTTTTATCATAGGAGTGTAGTCACTACGTGGCTGTCAAGGATTTTGGCTTTATTGGAATTGCTAGGTCTCATGGCTTCATAAAAGAGTCTTGTTAACATATCAAGTGAAAAGGAATTGAAAATGCTTCATTCTGCATAAGATGAAAGCAACAATTGTATTAAAGCAGAGATGTGCAACTTTGAAAATCCCTTGAGGGTCATGTGTTAATGTTATTTGGGTAGCTGGATGCAGAAGTGCCCCAAATATATACACCAGAGAGAGTGTGCTCCCTCCCTTTCGTATCTTGCTTGAAGAATACAGAGACTGGATGAGACTTTTGATATCACATGGGATGAAGAATAGAGGCTCATTCATGCCCATTTATTTTGCTCCTCTCTAGCACAATGGTCAGTAGGTCCCAACCTGTGGTCCATGGACCACCACTGTAAGAACTAAAATATGGTCCACGGTCTCACCATTACTACAACATTGAAATATACGGTATGTCATTTGTAATACATTAACTGACCATACTGAGAGAATGGCTAGCTGAACATTTCCTAAAAAACATGCTATGGAGTTAAATTTCAGATGCTAGTTCCTGCTGGGACTAGAATCAATGGGCTGAACTGTTGACTAGTTACTTCTATGGCTTTTTCCTAATTGAAACTTGCAGTAGACCACAGATGAATACCATACAGCAAGAACCAGATTCATTACTAGAAGGCATTGGCTGCTTAACAGGAGGGAGAAGTTGGCAAGAAATCAAGTCAGGCCCCAATCCTCATACAGAGGTAGAGCAGGTGTAAACAGCTGGCTTCCTTTCTCTTTGCCTCAAACAACACTACTTTTACACTACAGAAGGAAAGGAAACACATTCTTGCCCCAAAAATTAGAACCAGAGAACTGGGAAGACCATGGCTGTCGCTGCGTGTTTTGCTTGTTGGTTTTTTGGTCCTACTTCTATGTTGTGTAAGCTGCCTTGAATATCACTGGATTGACAACTGAGGTCTAACACTTCAAAATAAATATATAATGCGTTGTGTCAGTGGAAACATCCCATCAATACACAGTTAAGCTTCTTTATAGTTTGAGTTGCTGTACAAACTGAACTGTAATGTGTTGAAATACGCCAGAAAGCAAATACCTAAAAACTAGGCATCTGAATATTCATCTTCTCTTCAAAATGACATATGAAATTGCGAAAAGAGGTTTTGAATAAACACCGATTTATATAATCTGATTTTTGACAGTAACTTAATTCCTTGAATTTCAGAGCACCTTGTTGCTGTTGTTTCTTGTATTATCAGAATGCTGCAGTGTTTTCAGATTTCCTGGGAGGTATTTATTATTTATTTATTTATTTATTTATTTGCTTCATTTTTATACCGCATTTTTCAGCCCTTAACAGGCGACTCAATGCGGTTTACAGTGCAATTAAAACATAATACAACAACAGGATCAACACATAGATCCACAACAGTTAACAATCAGACAGGACAAATCAACAACACAACATATATAACGCCTCAGTTGAAATCAGATCCGTTTTCATAGTCCTTGTGCTGTTCCTATGTTCCATTTACCGTCTTCCTTGACTGGTTGCATTGCTTAGCCGAACGCTTGTTCATAAAGCCAGGTCTTAACCATTCTCCGAAACGTCAGCAACGAAGGTGCCTGTCTGATGTCTGCCGGTAAGGCATTCCATAGCCGAGGGGCCACCACTGAGAAGGCCCTGTCTCTCGTCCCCGCCAAACGCGCCTGTGACGCAGGCAGGATCGAGAGCAGGGCCTCCCCAGATGATCTTAATGTTCTAGTCGGTTCATAGGTGGAGATGCGTTCGGAGAGGTAAGCAGGGCCAGAACCGTTTAGGGCTTTATAGGCTAAAGCCAGCACCTTGAATTCTGCCCGGTAGCGGATTGGCAGCCAATGGAGCTGGCTCAACAGAGGAGTGGTATGCTCCCTGAGTGCCGCTCCCGTTAGCAACCTGGCTGCCGAGCGCTGGACCATCTGAAGCTTCCGGGCAGTCTTCAAGGGCAACCCCACGTAGAGCGCGTTGCAGTAGCCATGTTAAGCTATTGCAGCACATTAAAACTAACAGGTCTACACTTTTTTGAGCTGCAAACAACTACATCAGTTGCCTAAAATGTAGTTTCCACTACCAGGTACTAACACACACATCAGGGTGCTGGGAGGAATACAAATGCATACTGGCATCTATGGTTGAATCTTCACTGCTATATAATGCATTCAACTGCATTGAGATGTGGGTCTACACTGGCCACAGGCCCGTAGCCAGGATTTTGAGTTTGATTTGGGGGGGGGGGGCTGAGTTTGATTGGGGGAGGGCTGAGGATCTACCCTAGCAAACCTTTTGTATCATTATCCCAATAGCCCCATGCATATGGGATATATTGAGCATGGTGATCAGATCATGATATGAATAAACATAACAGTTTAAATAATGTACTAGTAAGGCCTTCTCGTGGACCACCCTGAGAATTTAGGGGGGGGGGTGAAGCCCCCCCCCCCAGCTACATGCCTGATTGGCCATATCATGCAGTCCAAACTGCATTACATAGCAGTGTAAATCCAGCCTAAAGCTGTTAAAATATACCTGTATATACAACAATAGATGTTGGATGAGGCATGTAGTGTGTAAGTATTCCTCATTTCAAACAATGACTACAAACTGAAGTAGCCTCAGTGATAAGAAGTCCATATGGAAAGCTACATTTTTACATGGAGATAACCTGATGATACTAATCCCTTGTTCTGACAATTTCCATAACTAGATTATTGCAGTGGATTTGATGTGGGACTTCTTTTGAAGTCTATCAGAAGTGGCAGCGAATGCCTGTGTATTAACAGGATGAGTACAATGCCAGCATGTTACAACAAAGACCTACTAGGTCCCCAGGTATTTTGGCCTACAACTCCCAGAAATCCCAACCAGTTTGCCAGCTATTAGGATTTCTGAAAGTTGAAGGCCAAAACATCTGGGGACTCACAGATTGAGAACCACTGTCTAGGCTAAAGCTAAGTGCTTGAAATCCCTTTTCTAGTACTGTGCTGCTCTACTGGAGATTTAGAATTGGCCTGGCACGTGATGTACGAGCAGGACTTGCATAAGAAGACGTAAAGTAAACTTCTAAATTGAGTGAAATACTGTACTGAACAATTATAATCCACTTCATGACAATTATACGCAAACACTAAAATTACTCATTGTCAGCCTCACACCCAGAAAATTAGATTAACTGTATTAATTGTCAGCCTCATGCTCAGAAAATGGGAACAATACACTGACCTGATTCAGAATCAGGAAATATGTAGAGATTACCAAATTACTGTAGGAAAGCACTTTGTATGCTGAAAAACATTCTAAAAATACTGTTGTAAATTATGATATGATGACATAAATCCAGTTGTTAGCACTAATCTAAGTGAAATAGATCAGCCCATTGCATTAAGTGTTAACTGCTTTCAGCAACTGATTTAATGGATCAACTCTAGTTGGGGCTAATAATCAAAGAACATTTCTCCAGAATACCATTCCTCTAAAAACTGAACTAGTTACCATTTCAAAATGGACTAAGGATCACTTGTCTATGAAAAAGTTGTCGAAGGTTTTCATAGCTGGAATAATTGGGTTGTTGTTTTTCGCTCTGTATGGCCATGTTCCAAAGGCATTCTCTGGAACGAAACATCAGGAGAGAATGTGGGTGAAATGTCAGGAGAGAATGCTTCGTGAACATGGCCATACAGCCCGGAATACTCACAGCAACCCGTGTGAAGAAGTCTTCCTCCTCTGTAGTTAAGCATGCAATTCCTATGCATGGCTACTTCAGTGGGGCTTGATGAAGGGGGGGGGGGGTAGATTTATTACTCCAATTTGAAACACAAAGTGACTCTAAACTTTTATTTTCATCTGCCTCTCCTACAGACAAAATGTGTTGTGTAAATGCATAGCAAGAATTTACTTAGTCTGGGTAAAACAATCCAGAAATATAGCAAAAGTACCTTCGACTTTGCTTTCTTTCTGTCTTTTCCCTCTCTTCTACCATCTTTTTTATGTTTATTCAGCCTTTCCCTCTCCTCACTCACACCAGGAATACTTAATTCATTCATTTTGTGTGTGTATTTTCTCTTTCCCTCTTTTAGAGAGTCTGGATTGATTTATTGGAATACGTAGGATTTATCAGGCAGCTTGGTTTAAACAGAAATGGGACCTGTGTTGTTCCAGCAGTGGACATGCCAAGACAAAAAAAAAGTTTCAGATAGCCTGGTCTTAAAGAGCTCCAACCAAAATGAGTAATGAGCATTTGGACCAAACTTTAGCACTTCCTGATCTTGAGGAGGCATCTAATTTTGAGGAGCCCTCCTAATTCTGAAGAGACTAGTGTCTGACACTTTGTAATGATGTTTTATGCGCTTCTAAGATGATTTTGGTTAACAGAAAAGTCTTGGCCAATTTGCTCTATTTTCCCACTGCAAATACAGAATGGTGACTTACCTCGGGGCAGGTTTGATCTCCAAAGCTTGTACAGATGGATAGCACACTCTGACACAGCCTGGATTCTGATCTAAACTTGTAGATTTTGTGATCGGAGGTGGGTTTCTTTTAGGCCTCAAATCTCCGGTTAGAAAGCTTTTTGCATAGGAGGCTAAATTTGGAACACTGACAATTCGGCTGGGAGCATCGTCCATTTTCTTCTTCTGCTTTATAATAAATAACAAAAAGACAGATTGTATACTTAAGTGTCATGGAACATTATTATAATAGGTTTAATTATATGATTACATTATTAGAACATAACCAATGCTCGGAAGATAAGCATGTCCAAAACACTTTGCACATGGTTATTGCGATACCTATACAACACTTCAGGCAAGTAGGTCACTTTATTATCTCTGTATTGCAGAAGTGGCTGAGTGCAGGGAGATAAACAGCACATGGATTCATGGAAGAGCTAAGATTTAATCTAGGCATTTCCCAGCTCCAACAAGGAGACAGACCACATTTAATTCACAAGACTTACAATGACAAAGCCTGACCCAAGCTGGTTTTGATCGTTAATATTGGGCACTTTAAGAGCCAGTGTGGTGTATGGTTGGAGTTTTGGATTAGGAATCTGGACACCAGATTTTGGATTCCTGCTCAGCCATGGAAACCCACTGGTTTATTTATCGTGTCAGGAGCAACCAGACATTTGTATTACCTTTTTAACAAAACAAACAAACAAACAGACAGACAGACAAAACACAAAGTTTGCAAGCTTGGTAGTTGATTAAATGTCCTTTGACCAGTATCTGGCCACTTGGAGTGCCTCTGATGTTGCCGCAAGAAGGTCCTCCATTGTGCATGTAGCAGGACTCAGGTTGCATTGCAGCAGGTAATCAGTGGTTTGCTCTTCTCCACACTTGCATGTCATGGATTCCACTTTGTAGCCCCATTTCTTAAGATTGGCTCTGCATCTCGTGGTGTCAGAGCACCACGAACCCACTGGTGACCTTGGGCAAGTCCTACTCTCTCAGCATCAAAGTAGGTCAAAGTCAAATCCCCTCTGAGCCAATCTTATCATGACATTTCTATGATATGTTTGCCTTAGTCACCATAAGTTAGAAATCACTTGAAGGAACACAACAACACATTCCATACACTCATTGCTTCAGTAAATGGAATGTGTTGTTGTGTTCCTTCAAATCAAACTTTTTTAGGAAGCCAGGTTTAATATTTAGAGCAGGGGTAGGAATCATGTGGCCTCAGATGATGTTGGACTGCAGCTTTCAGCATTCCTCATAATTTACGTTTAATAGCTAGAGTTCTTGGACCTTTCAGTTCAGCAAGATCTTGAGCGTCACATGATTTTTGCACATTTACAGAGGAATAGGCCAAGTCTAGCAGTGTGATTTCAATTATGTTGAGCGTAATTCTGTATGGGTTGTTGGTCTACCGGGGGCCATATATGGCTGCAGAGCTATGTTGGGTTTGAATGAAGTATGTACTAACTAGACACTGTAATGTACTAAGGAACAATTTTAACCTGAAAAATTATAGATGTGTGTAATTTTGTAAGAATTTTTAAATTCATGGTAACTAGCAAAATTGAATGAAAAATTACACAGTCAGTAAAACCTGATAGGAATAAGCATATCCTGATATTGCCTCTGGTGACCATCGTTAACACTAGAATGTGCCCAAGAACCTTGTGTGACAAAGAGGGGGGAGTCCATAGTAATTAATTCAACACAAAGAAGGTTTCTTGGTAGACAGAATGAATATACCAAGACCATTATGAAAAAAGAATGTGAGTAATTTTTTTTACTCCCTAACATCAGGTCAGACTACTTTGCTAAATATGAGTTCCAGTCTCAGCTCTGTGAGGAGGAAAAGAGCTGTGCTCACAAAATGAATTGCTTATTATTATTATTATTATTATTATTATTATTATTATTATTATTTGCCACTTTTTTCTCTTAAATGAGACTTAAAGTGGCCCACTATACCAAAAACTGTACAAATTACAATCTAGAACACACAACATGTAAACACAAAATTAACCATAAAATTGTTAAGACAAATATTTTACATCACCTAAAACCATTAAAAACAGTAACCACTATGTAACAAAATTTGAAAAAAAAATCTGTTCCTGGTTTGAAAATGTTTATTTCCTGTTTAACTATGGGTGGTTCCAGACAATGGTAAAGTCTGTGCTGACCTGGGTTTAAAAAACCTGTGTCGGAGCAGACTGCAGTCTGCACAACAGCTTGGAAAACACATGCATTTGGGGCTGGGTGTCTAGATGCCATCCCGGAACCTTCCAGGAGGACTGCGAGACACTCAGACCCCCTTCCCAACCCCTCACAACCTTTTTCAAAATAACTCACCCAGCTACCATTAGCATGGTGCTGGGGCTCTCCTGGTACGTAGGAATGATATGCCAGGAGAAAGGAGGAGGGAGGAGTAACATCTCTCCTGGCACATCATTTCTATGCAGGAGGAGAGCTCTGGCACCACACTAATGGTGGCTGGGTAAGTTCTTTTATTTTTTTAAAGGGTTTGGGGGGGGGGGAAGGATTGAGGCTGTAGATCAGTACCGGAAGTTGCTCAGCATGATCCCCAGTCCCATACCTGAAAAGACACATGTCTTCTGAAAGACCTGGATCTTTACAGCAGACAAATTACCTTGGCACAAAGCAGGGTGTTCCTGCTTTGTGCCAAATAAGTTACTTTTCCTTGAAGCATCATTTGGATGCTCCAGGGGAAAGCGCAATAGGGCACGGACTATAGGTGCTGTCTGGATGTGCCCTATCTGGTACTTACTTTCAAAGTAGTTGTTCTATTCCAGAAACTTTGCTTTTGTGGCTGCCATTTTTAGCCTTTCAATGTGCCATTTTTTGGTGTATAACGCAAAAATGAAGTTTTTGCAGTTTAATAAAGTTTTTCCACATGTTTATGATAGAATCAATTAGGAAATGACTTTTATAACCCGGGAACAAAAATCATGTTACATAGTGTAGTTAAAACGCTACATGGCATCTCCTGGCTCGTTCTTGAAAACATTTGTCTTTAAAAGCCTGCCTAAATAGAAAGGTTTAGGCCCCCACCAACAGTTTACAATAATGGTGAAACTGAGAGGATCTCAGAAACCGGGCAGGCTCATGCAAGATATACACTTTGCTCAATACATTGGACACAACCATATCTATGGAATTACTGCAAGGCTTATACTTATAGTAGCTGGGCATTTGGTAATTTGAAGGTGATAGAAGGACTCAAAACTATACTACCGGTACTTTCAATGTTTTTGTTACCTTTGCAATGGGAGTCAAACATGTGGTAGGATTTGTATTAAAAGAAAAGGACCGGTTGCGATGAGGCTCTGCGCTGGATATAAGCGACTGCTGGAGTTTTCTTCCATCCTGTCAAGGAAAACCTATGTGCTGGTTAGAGAACACTTGTTTGGCTTTCACTTTAGAGCAGTTAAGGGGAAGCCATGATGGCATTTCAGCAGAAAAAAATGGCACTATGAAATTATTAATCCTATATAATTGAATTTAAAAAGAATGCACTCCAAAATTACTAAAGGGGCCAGTTGGTTAAAAAAAATAGAGCTGGCATAATTTCCCTTTCTCCTGTCAAACGTTAAACTTTCTTAATTTTAGTTTCAAATGCTTAATAAACCGAAATCACAAGCTCTGAAAAGTGCACTTCTTGGGTTGTATTGTACCTATTAATTTCTTCCAAGTATAGAATTGTGAAAGTATTTTATTAAATTTTACTCAGAAGTAAGTCTCATTAGGTGAAATGGAACTTTCACTCAGATTAATACGTTTACACACTTGTTTTTCTCTTAACCATTCTAAAATACAGTATTAGGTAATGTGCAGTAGGGCAGCACTGAAAGGAACATGTATGTATTCACAACTGAACAGAACACTGTCCCTGCTAATGTTAGGCTCTTTCGGAGCAGTGTCTTGTAGGAGGTCGGTAGAAAAAGCCACCTCTGTTGCCATAGATGCCCATGCCCAGTCAACTCCTGAGCAGCTTGTGAACTAGAAGGACATCTTTCTATCCGGAGGCAGATGGCTTTCACTGCTGTCTCCTTGTTGCCACAGAGCCGAGGGCCATTTCTTCCCTGCTGCTGTGCTACTGCCTGTATCACTACAGCCACCAATACTGGCCTAAAGAATCACAGCCAATGCGTCTTGCTAACTTCTTACATAGATGCTATATAGGAAAAGCTCACCATTAATTCCTTGATCAGTTCTTCTTTTTCATTTAATTTATCTTGAAGGCAGCCTATAAGATGTCGGTCCTCCAGCCTAGCTTCTCTCTTTCTTGGTTTCTCCTCCAATTCTTTAAGCCTGTTATTGATCACAGGATGAAGAACACTGAGTGAAGCTCCCAGAATTGTGAAAGGACAACGCAGCAATGCTGCTAACAATCCATCAACTTCAAAAGTTTTAAAGTATAGTTCTAGTTCAAATCTCTTGAATTATGTTTCATATCTTATTCTCAAGATGGCTAAATTCAGCAACTAAGCCAAAGTTTTAAACTCTGATCATTCTATCTCTTTTAAATGAATAAGATTTTAAAGATGCCAGACTGGACCCTAACTCCCTAACTGTTGACAGATACTGAATCTGTAGCTTTTAATGGACACACATATTAAGTGTTGGTTTTCTGATGGTGTAGAAGGTTTCTGTATAAAAATCATGGAAATGTATGATTGTTCATTTTTTATCTTCTTGCTATGTTGTGATTGACCAGATTCCCTGTGACAGCTCTTTTTAAAATAGTTATGCTCCTATAGCAGCCATTTGTGCAGCAAATTTGTGTCTACAGGCTCCAAAACTTTGGAAACCTCTGTGTTGTACCATAGTTAATGCTGAAAAGGGAAAGGAAGCAGAATCAGATGAAAGAGAAAATGAGGGGAGAACATAACCACAACAAACCTGAAGTATTCACAATTTACCCAATTCAGCACATATATTCATCTTGGACACATAACACTACTTACTCATTTTCCAAGGAGACAATCTTTGCATGGAGAAGAGCTTGTGAATTACTGAACTCAGTCATCATGTTTTTCATCTCTTTGTGATGGTCTTCCTTCAATATGTCCAGGTCTTTTTTATGTTTGACTTTTAGGTCCTCCTCCAATAACCTTTAGTAATAAGATGAAAATGTGTAATTAAAAAAGGATAAACATTAAATATCCAGTATTAAACATGTTGTGGTGATTGGTGAACTTTTTATATATCAGGCTGGTTTTGAAAAAATACCACGGTTTTCCTCTAAAAAGTATTTGCAACGAAGAGCACGAATCACCTACTGTGAGAAGACAACTATTCTTCATTAGCTGCTCCTCAAAAAAGGAGCTGTTGTGTGGTGTCCCACAAGGCGCTGTTCTATCCCTAATGCTTTTTAATATTTATAAGAAACTGCTGGGAGATCATCCAAAGGCATGGGGTGGGGTGCTATCAATATGTAGATGACACCCAAATATATTCTCCATGCCTTCAAGAACAGCCTCAGCTAAGGACAGCGGTTCTCATCTGACTTTAATTTTATTAGTATCAGTGTTTAAATCTTTGTTCTATGTATTTATTTATTTATTTATTATTTATTTCATTTACTTATACCCCGCCCTTCTCACCCCGAGGGGGACTCAGGGCGGCTTACAGAGGAGGCAGAATTAAATGCCTAAATCAATTGACAATAATACAAATACAACAAAAACAATTCAACAGTTAAAGTTAAAACATCAGTACATAATAAAATATTAAAACAATCTCATGCTCGGGTTCAGAGTCCATATAACCATTACATTCCATTTGTCGTTGTCTGTCGTCAGATCCTTAATTTAGCTGCCAGTGTGTCCAAAGGCTTGGTCCCAGACCCAGGTCTTCAGTTGTTTCCTGAATGCCAGGAGGGAGGTCGCCGATCTAATCTCCCCGGGGAGTGAGTTCCACAGGTGGGGGGCCACCACTGAGAAGGCCCTGCTCCTCGTCCCCGCCAACCTCACTTGTGAGAGTGGCGGGGTCGAGAGCAGTGCCTCCCCAGAAGATCTTAGGCTTCGAGGTGGGATGTAGCGGGAGATCCGTTCGGACAAATACACTGGGCCGGAACCGTATAGGGTTTTATAGGTCAAAACCAGCACTTTGAATTGTGCTCGGAATTGGATCGGCAGCCAGTGGAGCTGGCGCAACAGGGGGGTGGTATGCTCCCTGTACGCCGCTCCGGTGAGCAATCTGGCTGCTTCTCGCTGACTAGTTGAAGTTTCCGAGCAGTCTTCAAAGGCAACCCCACGTAGAGTGCGTTGCAGTAATCCAACCGGGATGTGACAAGAGCATGGACCACCGTGGCCAGATCCGACTTCCCAAGGTACGGGCGCAGCTGGCGCACAAGTTTTAATTGTGCGAAAGCTCTCCCGGCCACCGCTGAGACCTGGGGTTCCAGGCTCAGCGATGAGTCCAGGATCACTCCCAAGCTGCGAACCTGCGTCTTCAGGGGGAGTGTAACCCCGTCTAACACAGGCTGTAACCCTATACCCTGTTCGGCCTTGCGGCTGACCAGTAGGACCTCTGTCTTGTCTGGATTCAATTTCAATTTGTTAGCTCTCATCCAGTCCGATACAGCGGCTAAACACCGGTTCAAGGTCTGGACAGCCTCCTTGGTGACAGGTGGAAAGGAGTGACAGATTTGGACATCATCTGCATAGAGATAACATCTTAGTCCGAAACTCCGAATGATCTCTCCCAGCGGCTTCATGTAGATGTTAAATAACATCGGGGACAAAATTGAGCCCTGTGGGACTCCACACAACAACGGTTGCGGAGCCGAACAGGTGTCACCCAAAGACACCTTCTGGGTCCGTCCCTCAAGGAAGGATCGAAGCCACCGCAGAGCAGTGCCTCCGAGCCCCATGTCCATGAGGCGCCCCAGAAGGATACCGTGATCGACGGTATCGAAGGCCGCTGAGAGGTCCAGCAGAACCAACAGGGACACACTCCCCCTGTCTAGTTCCCTGCGCAGATCATCTACCAAGGCGACCAAGGCTGTCTCAGTTCCATGTCCCGGCCTAAAGCCAGACTGTGCCGGATCTAGATAATCAGTGTCTATCAGAAACCCCTGGAGTTGTGTTGCCACCACACGTTCCATGACTTTGCCCAAATAGGGGAGATTGGAAACTGGCCGATAGTTGTCGAATTGGGTGGGATCCAGTGATGGTTTCTTCAACAGCGGTTTTATAATAGCTTGTTTTAAGCTCGCTGGAAATTTTCCTTCCTGTAAGGAGGTATTAACCATCACCTTCACCCACCCTGCCAAACCCCCTCTGGCTTCCTTGATCAGCCAGGAAGGGCAGGGGTCTAGGATGCATGTGGTGGGTCGCACCTCTCCAAGGATCCTGTCCACATCCTCAAGCTGAACCAATTGAAACGAATCCAACAAAACTGGACAAGCAGATGCTCTCGTTACATCCCCAGAGACTGCCGTTAATGTGACGTCAAAGCCTGACCGAATCCGCTCAATTTTATCCGCGAAAGATCGAGCAAATGCTTCACAGCGAGTCACCGAGTTATCCGAGGCCTCGCTTTTTGGCGGATTTAACAGGCCTCTGACAACTCGGAAGAGCTCCGCTGGACGATTCTTCGCTGATGCAATATTGGCTGTGATGAATGTTTTCTGGGCCGCCGTTATTGCCACACCGTAGGACCTTAAAAAGGCCTTCAGGTGTGTTTGGGCTGGATTGGTGGGGTTCAGGCGCCACACGCGCTCTAACCTCCTCTTCTTTCGCTTCATCGCTGCCAGCTCCTCAGTGAACCAAGAGGCTGGTTTAGCTCGGTTACTCGAGAGGGGGCGTTCCGGAGCGATAGTGTTGATTGCCCTGGTCAACTCACTATTCCAGCCAGAGACCAGAGCGTCGACAGTGTCGCTAGCCAAGGAGGTGGAAAAATCCCCAAGGGCCGTCAGGAAGCCATTTGGATCCATCAGTCTCCTGGGGCGGACCATTTTAATGGGTCCACCACCCCTGCGAAGCTTAGAAGGCACAGTTAGTCTAATACTAATCAGGTGGTGATCGGTCCATGGCAAAGGAGCGATGGTCGGCTCCTCCATCCCGTCACCCTCATCCCATCCCTGAGTGAAGACCAAATCTAAGGTGTGTCCGGCACTATGGGTGGGACCAGATATTAGCTGGGACAGGCCTATGGTTGCCATGGCGGCCATAAAGTCCTGAGCCGCACCGGAAAGAGAGGCCTCGGCATGGATATTGAAATCTCCCAAGACCAAGAGCCGTTGGGAGTTCAACGCCATGTCCGAGACCACTCCTGCTAGCTCAGGTAAGGAGACTGTAGTGCAGCGGGGTGGTCGGTACACTAACAGAATCCCTATCCTGTCCCGGTCACCTATCCTAAAGCCGGCACATTCGAAGGAAGATGATTGTGGGATGGGACGCCTGATCAGTGGAATAAAGTCCTTATAGACCACTGCGACTCCGCCTCCCCGCCCTCCAAGCCTTGGTTGGTGCTGAACAGAGTAGCCTGGTGGACAGAGTTGGGAGAGATTAACCCCTCCCCCCTCGTCCAGCCAGGTTTCTGTTATACAAGCCAGGTCAGCTCGTTCTTCTTGGATTAAATCTTGAATGATGGAAGTTTTTCCGTTTACTGACCTGGCATTGAGCAGCACCACCTTTAGCTTGGAGGGGCCACCATCCTGGCACCTCAGTTGTATTTTGTCAGGAGTAGGTTTTGGAGTTGCCAATCTATTCTTAATTTCGGGCCGGATCAAAGAATTTATTTTTGGAAATGCCAATGTCCTATTGAAAATTTTGGGCCGAATTTGCTTCTGTCTTCGATTTCTAGTATCTTTAGAGGTTGTCAAATTGTTGTTATAAATTTTGGGCCGAGATGGAAATTTTATTCTCCCTTTCCCGTATCTCCCTCTACCAGTCACCACCTCTATAGCAGTTCCCCCACCCGCAGTCCCCCCCCGGGGGCGTTCCCTTTGTTTCCCGCAATTGTAATCTCTGTAATAGGTGTATAATTGTAGTTCTGACTAGCTGTCTCTGGGTCCCAGTCTTCCCACCCATTAGTGCTGTCTATTCCCTCCAGTGTATTAAAAGCTATGAAGTGTACTTGTACTGAAGTTGGTCTAAAGTGCACTTGTGCCGAGATTGTTAAGAAGTGCACTTGTGCTAGGGATTGGAGGGATAGCAATAGCAGCAAAGGTAGGGCCAGAGTAAACATTGACATAGAAATAATATACTGATGTTAACAATAAGTGTACCACTTCAATTAATACTATAGGAACCCAGGGTACAGAACATAAAGTGCAATTATTGTGACCCCTCAGCCTGACACTTTGGACCGTTTAGTGATGATGTGGGTTCTGGCAGAGGATCTAAAGTGCTTAGCTTAAAGTGACTTCGTGCTGAGGTAGTTCTAAAGTGCAACAATGTGGAATTTACTGACTTCTATAAGCAATTTTGCTTTCCAGTCAATAAGTCAAGACAGACAATTCGCACCCGAAAACCCAATTCCCTTGGCCCGTGGAGCAACAAGCCGGCACCCAGGATCAGGTCTCCGGAACTTCTTGGCCGTCCTGAATGGAGATGACCCAGCAGAGCAGATGTTAGTCCGCGTAATGAAGCCAGTATATGCAAATTATTGCTAATTAGCAGCACAGATTGCAGATTGTCCACTGTATAATAGATATTATTTGCACTTCTATCCTAGCCACAAGGGCAATATAGGAGGAATGGATGTCCCGTCTTTTGGAATGGAACTCTGTAAAAGGTTATTCAATTAGCCGCAGCATGTAAACCCACAACATCTCACATACATCCAGCAATCTCACACACATCGCACAGCTCTTCACACACCCATCATATAACTCAACTCACACCACACATCCCCTCACAACAACACAACACAACACAAATTTCTAGTTGGTCCTTCCGGAGATGGTCAACACAGATGATCGGTCAGCACAGATGGACGGTCAACACAGATGGTCAGTGTAGCAATTTGGGCAGCACAGTCGGTCGGCACAAGTGGTTTGTTAGTTGATCAACACAGTCCAGCAGTCAGACAACACAGATCGGTCAACACAGGTGTCGGCAGCAGACGCTTTCGGCCCTCAGGGCCACCGATGGAAATGCAGGCGAAGCGCCAACCCCCTAGGTTGCACTCGAGTCTCTGCCTGGCAACTAGGCCGCGACCAGCCTGCACCGAGACGGAGCAATATAATGTTGGAAAAGTCACCCCCTTTCCAGAGTCAGGAGCCACCAGGGATAGAATCGGCGCAGCAGCGCCGCCAAGCACCTCCGTCGGGCCCGCCAACTCACCCTAGGAACGCCAGACGAAGCCGGGGGCCAGGCCAGGCCAGCGCTGGGCCCAACGCAGGAATGACGGTGCAGCGCAGCTGGAGCACGGCGCGCTGGTCGGGCGCCAAGGCCGGCCTCCACAGCCTCCGAAGTAGCAGGACGCCAGCCTGCGCGCCGAACAGAGCCGGAACAGAGCCGAGCGCCAGGCGCCAGGCGCGGGAGCACTGGCGCGGCGCGGCGGCGCGGGGCGGCGACCCCTCAGATGTAGCAGAGTTCAAGCCGCGGGGTTGGCGCAGCAGCAATTGCGGCCTCAGCGGCGGCCTCGGCAATGGCACAGGCCGGGCAGCGTCCTCTCCCCACGCTCGACCGCAGCGGCCCCGGCAACGGCGGCACAGCAACAGGTAAGCACGGCCTTCCGTGATGTTCCAAGGGGTGGCCAAGGGGCGGCCTGAGCACCAACCACTCACCAGGTGAGGCTATAGGTCTTGTTGGGTCTTGTTGGGAAGGGAGCCAGCCGCGTTGCAATGGCGGCGCTCCCTCGTCTTCCTCTACCTTCTCCCGCTCTTTACTCCTTTCACCTGGGTTCCTCGGCTCCCAAACCCCTCTGCAGGACCCTTGATGGATCTGGTCTCTCCCTCGTCAGTTTCAGGGTGGATTGGGGTGGGATCGCCTTGGATTGCTCCGGATTTAATTTTTTGATCGATGCAGCCCTACGTTTTGTTGCCGGCCGCCATACCGGAACCGGAAGCCATACTGGAACCGGAAGCCTGTATCTTAATATATGTATTTTAATGATATTAAAATAATATATGTATTTTAATTATATTGTGATATTAATAATATTTTAATGAATTGTGATTTATCAGCTTGTTTAATTGTATTGTAGTAGTTGTTGTTGTTGTTGTTGTTGTTGTGAAGTATTTGATACTAATCAGCAAGTAACATGATTAGAGGGTCACTTTAAGGAGGTTGTGATAAATGAATGGCCGAAGGTATCTCAAATGAGACTTCTAGTCAAGTGTAAGGTACTCCCTACAGTTAAAATGCCTTGCCCCTGGAGTGGTAACTGGAGCTGGATAGTACTCATCAGGTTCAGGGGGTTGGAACTGGTCCCGGGGCAGTCAGTTGCTGCTTTCTAATCCACTACATAAGAGGCATAAAATGAGTGGCAAACCTTCTCTGTTGGTTCTCCCTGTCTTGTAGCTGTGTAGATGTTTGCTTCTGTCGCTCCACGTCCACACTCAGTAAATCCATTGTGTCCTTCAGAAGGGAATTTTCCTTCTTCAGCCCAGAGATTTCATTCTGACACTTCTCTAGTTCATCTTTAAGAGATTTTGTCTGATTCTGGTAACTTGCTTCCTATGAAAAATACAAATAAAGATATTTGAAACTGATGTCTACAGGCTCTTCCATACAGGCCAATATCCCAGGATCTGATCTCAGGTTTTCTGCTTTAAACTGGATTATAGGAGTCCACACGGCCAGATAAATCTGGGATAAACAGAAAACCTGGGATTAGATCCTGGGATATACGATGGATGTGGGTGATAATATTTATTTATTATTTATTTATTTACGATATTTCTATCCCATCTTTCTCAGCCTGAAGGCGATTCAAGGCGGCCTACAAATTGGCAGCAATTTGATGCCATAATAGTCATAAAATACAATTTTAAACATTTAAACAAATTGTAAAAATCCATACAAAAACCATTAAAAACATATACTCACCAATGTCTTCTTGTTAATCTAATTTCCCAGTAGCACCATCTAAGCCGTTCCATGTTTCACTCTTTCATAATTCCATTTAGTAAAGCATATCAAATATTATTTTATTTATTTTATTATTTAGAGAATGTTTATTCCACTCTTCAGCTACAAAGGCACTCAGAACGGCTTGTAAAATTGTAATTTCCCCTCAGGCTTACAATGTACATAAGAGAAATAATTGGGTGAACCTTCTGCTGAATGATTGTTTATTTGTTCAGTCACTTCTGACTCTTCGTGACCTCATGGACCAGCCCATGCCAGAGCTCACTGTTGGCCGTGGCTACCCCCAGCTCCTTCAAGGTCAGTCCAGTCACTTCAAGGATGCCATCCATCCATCTTGCCCTTGGTCGGCCCCTCTTCCTCTTCCCTTCCATTTTCCCCAGCATGATCGTCTTCTCCAAGCTTTCCTGTCTTCTCATTATGTGGCTAAAGTACTTCATCTTTAGGTGACTGTGCAGCTGTATCAAGTGCTTCTTGAAAGGGATTAATGCTTTTCCATTATTAATTATTATCAGGGTTGAGGATATTCCATAATTCCATAGCAGCCACATAAATGAGTACAGCAACAGACACAAGACTGAGCTTGTAGATACTATAACCTTTATCTGACAGGTTTGTATATTTTCTGATAACATTTCAGAAGTCGCTTATGTGCAAGGCTGCAGAATTCTGTTCCTGTTTCAAAATTGGGATGACTTTGTGACTTTCCCTGCCCTGATCATACATAGTCAACTCTGGGTATTGTAAATAGTGCTTATAATCACATATGCAATCACATAAAATGTATAGTGGTTGTCTTTTTAGCTGAGATATAAAATAAGACATCTCCTTTTCCTAAAACAGAAAAAAAGTAAATGCATTTTAAATCCTAAAAATGGCCTCTGGTCATTCGTAATGCGTTTCAGTGAAGTAAGAGTCTTACCTGTTGCCTTTTTGCAGCTACCGTGTTCTTCAGTTCTCCTTGCAGTTCCTCCTTTTCCTTACTGTGAGTCATGCAAGATATTTGTTGCTCTGACAGCTCCATCTTCAGAGACTCTAGAAACAATTACAAACTTTCAGGATGTGGGGAAAATGCAAGCATATTATTTTGAATTAGGGAAAAGCTTATAAATAAAAATGGCATATATTGTAACAGTCCTAAAAGGAACAGTGAAAAATAAAAAATAATGCTACACGTATTTATGTATGAATGTCAACACCACATCCTTTTTGGGTGGTTATGTGGGTTAAACTGTTGAACTGTTGAATCTGCTGACCTAAAGTTGGCAGTTCAATGCTGTGGGTTGGGGTGTTAGCCCTAGCTCCTACCAACCTAGCAGTTCAAAAACATGCAAATGTGAGTAGATCAATAGGTACTATTTCAGTGGAAGGAATAAAGGCGCCTATGCAGCCATGCTGGCAACACGACCAGGAGGTGTCTACAGACAACAGGCTCCTTGGTCTGGAAATGGAAAAAGAGCACCTCCCCATGGCCAGAGTTGAGCACTGCTTCCAGAAGCCGGAGATGAAAGGGGAAGCCTTTACCTTTGTCATGTGTATTTGTGTGTCACTGTTATTTCACTGTATTAAAGGCACTGAATGTTTGCCTATCTGTGTATGTTGTAATCCACTCTGAGTCCCCTTGGAGGAAATACAGCGGAATGTTAAATAAAGTGTTGTTGTTGTTGTTGTTGTTGTTGTTATTATCATCATCCTTGCTATTGTGCACAAGTGTCTTTCTTCACAAAAAGATACAGCTCAGTATTTCAAATGCAGGTTAGAGGATCATTGCAATGAAGGCGGAGATGTGAAAAAAACATGTCCATATGCATCCAGAACGGCTTCCCAAAGATTCCTTCTGCACTTTGATAACTCCTGTCAGATCAGAATAACCATATTAGGACTGAACCAAACAGTAGTGGAATTAATTCTGACCAACTAAAGGTACAGTTTCAGGTTTAGGGGATGTGAAATTTACTTCAGTGCATCTCCAGAGAGAAAACATTACATTTTTCTGATAAATTGTCTTCACTCTGTTTTGCCAAAGGAGTGAGAGAATGGCAACAGCTGCCAGTTGAAAAGGAAGCAAACATTTCCACGTGTTCCCGGAAAAATGACTGAAATGACAGCTACTTCTATGCTTAAATGAATCACGTTTCAAAAAAGCTTTCTCTCTTGCCATTCCAGCATTTGGTTCATCCTTTAGCATGTAGTACAAAAGGCATTCCAAATCTTCTATTAGTAGTATAATTGCACGGTTCTGATGTTTCCCACTGACAATGGAAATCTACAAATGGGTCTAACTGCAGGCATAATAACTCTATAGGAAGACATTTGGAGTTAGAGATTTGTAAACTTCATTATTTTTTGAAAACAGAACTGTAGAGCACTTTTTACTGCTTGGGAAAAAATCTAGTGCTTGTAAAGAGAAGTGTTCCCAATGAAGTGATAAATGCTGCCAGGTTTCACATGAATAGATTTTTGAGTGTAATTGAAAGACCAGTATTTAATGTTGGGTGATTTTACCAAAAAAAAAAGAAAAAAAAAGAGGGCTATTTGAGCAGGAGTCAGTTGATATGAAAATGATGTGCAAAACAGAAGAAGGTAAGAAACTTGGAAAAGTTTGAAAGTTTATGTACAGAGTCTAGGGCATTTTGCAAGCAAACTTATGAGAAGCATAAGCTCTCCCGCCAAAGCAGTTTTTACATTCCTGCCCTTGGAAGAATTAGCAAAAGCACTGGTCAACGTCCCTCCCCCAAACCACTGGGATAAGATACCTCCTCTAAAACCATTCACTGTGGATTCAATCATAAAAAATCACAAGACAATCAGAAGAAGGGACTGAGAGTTTTATCTATGCTGACGATCATGCCATCACTGTCCAAGCAGGGAGCTTTGAAATGATTGAACAGAAGTTTCTGAAGCTTTAGGGGCTCTTGCTGTCTATTGCAGGGAAAACCAGCTCATCCTAATCCATCTAAAATGCAGACATGTGCTTTTCACTTTAAGAACAGACAAGCATCTCAAGTTCTGATAATTACTGAGAAGGAATCCCACTGGAGCATTGCAGCACAATAACTGGGAGTTACTATAGACTATGCTCTGACTTACAAGAAGTACTGCTTGACTATCAAGCAAAAAGTGGGTGCTAGAAATAATATAATATGAAAGCTGATTGGCACAACCTGAGGATCACAACCAGATACAGTGAAGACATCTGCCCTTGCGCTTTGCTACTCTGCTGCTGAATATGCATGCCCAGAGTGGAATACATCTCACCACATTAAAGCAGTGGATGTGGCTCTTAATGAGACATGCCACATTATCACAGGATGTCTACACCCCACACCACCGGAGAAATTATACTGTTTAGCTGGTATTGCACAACCTGACGTCCACTGGGAAGTAGTGGCCAATAATGAAAGGACTAAGGCAGTGACATCTCTGGCCCATCCTCTGTTATCAGCTAGCATGCCAATGCCTTAAATCAAGAAATAGCTTTCTAAGATCTACAGAGATACTCGCAGGAACACTTCAGCAAGCGAGAGTCCAAAAGTGGCAGGCTAAAACGCGGAACCTCAATTCATGGCTAATACCGAATGAGAGAATCCCTCCTGGGCACACAACTTGGAAGGAACTGAACAGACTGCAGTCTGGCACCACGAGATGCAGAGCTAACCTTAAGAAAAGTGGCTATAAAGTAGAGTCAACAACATGTGAGTGTGAAGAAGAGCAAACCACAGACCACTTATTACAATGCAGTCTGAGCCCTGCCACATGCACAATGGAGGAACTTCTTATAGAAACACTCCAAGTGTCCAGTTACTGGTCAAAGGGCATTTAGTGTAATGCCAAGTTTTTAACTTTGTTTGTGTCTTTAGATACATTACAACCATACCCTCAATTCGCTTCTGACACGATAGATAGATAAATAAATAACAAGACAACAGCTCTTTATTTCCCTACTTCTTCATGTGAAAACCTTGAAAAAATGCATCAATATTTGAAGGTATACTATCTTTCTCTCTTAAGTTCTCGGAATCAAGATTGGTAATTGGGCTTCATGTCTGCTCAAACTGTAATTGATCCATTCTTAAGGAGTCCTATTTAAATTTGAACATCTCCCAAATCAGTCATTTTTAACACAAATCTGGAGCACATAGCAAAAGGTTCACCTGTGTTGGCTTGTAGTCAACAGCTCCCACCTATATTCACATGAAAGATTTCAGGAGATGCTTGGAAATCTGCAGCTGTCACTGATTATAACCACTCAGCTATCACTTTGCTTTTCCATGCTGTTCCCCTGTCTGCTGTCCCTTCTGTTCCAAATACTTGCAGTCTCCCACAGCTGGTTTACTGACTAAAGGGCTCAAACTGAAGATCTCACAATCCAAAATGAAAAATGTTGGATTGTGGCACCTAGGTTTCCACCTGGACAGAGACTTACTCATCTCTCATTTATTATTTATTTGTTTATCACTTCTCAACCTACCATGGCTCCTGAGGCAATGCCCAATGGGTAAACGCCTTTAAAACATGCATAAATAAAGGCAAGTAGAATGAGAACTCTTTACACATAGTACTAAAATGACAGATGAGTGAATTACCCAACTCACCAGCAGCACTAGTTTGGGAATAACGGGTGTTTGTGAAGTGAAGATGGGCATTGTTTTCTAGATTTTCCTAGAAATCCAGAGTACTTAGGACCCAGTGGAGGGTTGACTTAGACTGCATCTACACTGCCCTATATTCTAGGATCTGATCCCAGATTATCTGCTTTGAACTGGGTTATATTAGTCTACACTGCCAGATAACCTGGGATAAGAAGATAATCTGGGATCAGATCTTGGGATATAGGGCAGTGGAGATCTAGCCAGATTATATCTCTTGCCTTTCTTCCACTGTAATAAGAAATTCAATGTGCAGATTTGATAAATGTGAATTTAATATGATGTGTGGGAGAATGGAAGAATGGAAGATGAATGTATGGATTTAGCTAATAATTTTGGAGACACCAGTATAATACGAAGGCCTGCAATGACTAAATACTTGCTTGCCGGACTGTAATTAAAAGTTGCTAATAAGAACTGAAAAGTAAACTCTGATAAGAATTGGGTCTGTGAAAACAGAAACGTTTACGATGTTAAGAAGGAAGTTAACATAAGATCAACATCAAGATGGAGCCAGGATGGAAGATGTCTATTATTAATTTACAACTTTGGAATGACATCAGCAGAATATTCCTATAAAAGACTCAATCTAATAATGCTCAAAGTTTGGCTGACCTGAGGAGTCTGTTCCACCCGCTATTCTCTGCTCCATGGGAAGGAGAGAGATAGTGTACCATGGAGTGGCAGATTTGCAAGGGAGCAGTCTGGTCACTTTGGGGCTTCTTTCTCAAGGAAAGAGGAAGAAGTGCGCTTTTGGAGTCTTAGATTTTGTGCAAGGAGTCATGTTCTGCTATATGAAAAACGGAGATCTGGTCTTTGGCATTGTTTTTAGGGAAAGAAGTTTTGGCATTATGGAACTATGCATTGGAAGGGCTGCAGGGAAGCAGTGTCTGGCCTAACAGGTGCTTCTCCAAGGAGGGAGAAAATGATATGGTAAATGCCTGAGGATGAATGCGTTTACATGTGGTGTGAATGCTGAGTGAAAATGTAATTCCCCTTTGTCTGTTTGTTAGTCCAATGTAACTGTAAGTTGTATATCCAATATAGTTGCATTGAATCTGTATGTGTTGTATGTCTAAGTGTTTTTCTGTAATCTGATATAGCCTCTCACACTGGAAATTGCAATAAAAAGAACCTATGGTTAAAGTTATTGAAAAGTCATTCATGACACCACCATGCCAAAAAAAGCCAGTTGAGTTTGAACATCATTCCTACTCCACTTCCTTGAAGAACAGCTAAAAACTGTCAGAGCAATCACTCCTAATTTCAGGATTTAGTGGCCAAGTAGGAATAGCATAGTCTTTGCTGCCCATCGGAAACTCAGAAGGGTTGGAGCCAAATAAACTCCACCTGGTGGAAGATCCACAGCTGATGTCCCAGTTTTACAGAGTGGTGAGCACATAACATGGCTCCAGTTTGGAACTTCATATCTGGGGAGGCTCTTATTAGCAAGGAAAGGCGATCTTTCAGATAACCTGGCCACAAGCCATAAAAGGCTTCACAGATCAAAACTGGCACCAGCTTGAAAATAAACTGAAAGCCAGTGCAATTCATGTAAGACCAGTGTGACTCACATAACAATCTGCAGCATTCTGTTCAAGCTCAGGCCCTCCCGGTGTTTTGGACTTCAGATCCCAGAATCCCTGGCCATCCCTGATCATCAAGTTTGCAGACGACACCAAATTGGGAGGGATAGCCAATACTCCAGAAGACAGGAGCAGGATTCAAAACGATCTTGACAGATTAGAGAGATGGGCCAAAACTAACAAAATGAAGTTCAACAGGGACAAATGCAAGATACTCCACTTAGGCAGAAAAAAACGAAATGCAAAGATACAGAATGGGGGACGCCTGGCTTGAGAGCAGTACGTGTGAAAAAGATCTTGGAGTCCTCGTGGACAACAAGTTAAACATGAGCCAACAATGTGATGTGGCTGCAAAAAAAGCCAATGGGATTTTGGCCTGCATCAATAGGAGCATAGTGTCTAGATCTAGGGAAGTAATGCTACCCCTCTATTCTGCTTGGGTTAGACCACACCTGGAATATTGTGTCCAATTCTGGGCACCACAATTCAAGAGAGATATTGACAAGCTGGAATGTGTCCAGAGGAGGGCGACTAAAATGATCAAGGGTCTGGAGAACAAGCCCTATGAGGAGCGGCTTAAGGAGCTGGGCATGCTTAGCCTGAAGAAGAGAAGGCTGAGAGGAGATATGATAGCCATGTATAATATGTGAGAGGAAGCCACAGGGAGGAGGGAGCAAGCTTGTTTTCTGCTTCCTTGGAGACTAGGACGCGGAACAATGGCTTCAAATTACAAGAGAGGAGATTCCATCTGAACATGAGGAAGAACTTCCTGACTGTGAGAGCCATTCAGCAGTGGAACTCTCTGCCCCGGAGTGTGGTGGAGGCTCCTTCTTTGGAAGCTTTTAAACAGAGGCTGGATGGCCATCTGTCAGGGGTGATTTGGATGCAATATTCCTGCTTCTTGGCAGGGGGTTGAACTGGATGGCCCAGGAGGTCTCTTCCAACTCTTTGATTCTATGATTCTATGATTGGACAGACTGATGAGAGCTTCTGTGACTTGGGAGTAGGGCCACAGGTTGTGCAGGCCTGGTCTAGTGGAAGCTTCTGAAAACTTCTCAAGGACAGTCTTAAATAGAGCACATTACAGTATTATAAGCTGTAATTTATACAGCAGTCGATTTGAAAAATCAAGCAAATTGCTACTATTGTGTTTCATTCACAATGGCAAAGATGTAACAAATCTTTCTGTGTAAGCAAGTAGGTTGTTTAGTGAGTGGTTGATAGACTGATTTTGCTTTTAGACACCTGTTACTCTATAAGCACAGCATACAGAGAACACAACATTAAAGAACACTGCAGTGACTGAGTGGGCAATGCAGCACTAAAATATTGGTATTGTAAGTTTCAAACAGTGACTGAAAAGCAGACTTTGAAAAGGTTAGCATTGATGTTAACATGTTAGCATTAAATCACCGGAGACAAGTAATTTGTTAATGTTAACAAATGTAACATTATAATTCAATTAATCAATTTGTTAAATAATTTAAAATTACTTAAAAAATACAACCCTATTTTAATGAAATAAGAAACATTAATCATTATTCAAAGACAGTGCCGTTGGAGCTCAATGATTAAACGATTGGATTCTAAAATTACTGGAGAAAATTTCAAATGAATATTTCATTAATTATATCCACGCTCTGCTGAAAAGCTGCTGAGAAATGTCAAGTGGCAAGAAAAAGCAAGCCAGGAAGGGAGTCCTAATTCTCTATTTCTGTAGTCACTGTCAAAGATGGCCCTAACATGGTCTACTGTACCTATCAATAAAGTCTGTTGATTCTGTATCCTTTCGAATTCAATCTGTAATTCTTCTCTCATTTTCTTTTCCAAGGCCTGCACTTCCAGATGGTGTGACTGTTGCTGCATCTTAAACCTGTCATTACATTCCTTTTTCCAGTATTCCTCTGCTTCCTGTAGCGAAGGAAAAATGTACCAAAATGTACAAGTAAATATAAATAATAATAATAGTTCACTTTATTTATATTTCGCTTTATCTCCCCGGAGGGACTCAGAGTAAATTACATTATACACATATGAGGCAAACATTCAATGCCTTTGATACACAGTGAACAACGATATAGAATACAAATAAAGGTAAAGGCCTTCCCATTTTATCCATCTCCAGCATCTGGAGGCAATGCTCAATGCTGGCCATGGGGAGGTGCTCTTGTTCCATTTTTTCATGCCAAGGAGCCTGTTGTCCATAGACATCTTCGATTGTGTTGCTGGCATGTCTGCATATCTGCACAGGGCACCCTTTTACCTTCCCGCCGAGGCGGTACCTATTCACCTGCTCACATTGCATGCTTTTGAACTGCTAGGCAGAAGCTAGAGCTGATAGTCAGGAGCTCACCCTGACTCATGGCTTTGAACTACCAACCTTCCAGTCAGCAAATTTCCTGTAGCTTTAATACAAAATATTAAAACACTGGTGGCACGGTGGGTTAAAGCACTGAGCTGCTAAATGTGTTGACCGAAAGGTCACAGGTTCGAATCCAGGGAGCGGTGTAAGCTTCTGCTGTCAGCCCCAGCTTCTGCCAACCTTGTAGTTCGAAAACATGCAAATGTGAGTAGATTAATAGGTACCGCTCCAGCGGGAAGGTAACGGTGCTCCATGCAGTCATGCTGGCCACATGCCCTTGGAGGTGTCTACGGACAATGCTGGCTCTTCGGCTTAGAAATGGAGATGAGCACCACACCCCAGAGTCGGACACGACTGGTCTTAATGTCAGGGAAAACCTTTATCTTTACCTTTTATTAAAACACCAAACTTTAGTTGGTGGTCAGATGTAGAAAAGGGTCTTCCCAGTATATCTCAAAGCACAAGAAGGGAAAATGCAGTCCTTCAAATAGCATGGATCCGAATTAGATAGGATAGATTGTTACCAATGAGTCATTTCAGTATTATTGTTAGCTAAATACTTTGGCTCTCAGATTTATCCAAGTTGCCACAATCTGTTCTACACCCAATTACCTGGGTTGGATTTTTGTCCTCTGATGTTACTATCAGCTTTTTATATGATGGCATTGATTAATGTGACTGAACCTATAGGCAGTGGGAAGATTTCCTCTTGCTGTCATTCTGCAACCCCCTCCAAATCCTTTAATCCTGTTTAAGAGACCTGACCCATTATGTTTGCAATTACCCTTTTTCTGCACTCTTCAATTAGAGGAAATTGGTCTGGAAGGAAATTGGAAAGCGGCAATAAATCTTCCAAATCTCCCACAGCTTAGCCTTTTTACATACATTAAATGCCTTTAGGTCTTCCTTAGTCAAGATGGCAATTCTTTTGCATTTGACATAGGTCTGTCCAGCTTCTAGGCACAGCATTTTTATAGCTCAAATAGTCCCAGATTGAAAACAAAGACAGGAAAAGAAGTCAGGACTGTCAGTACAAATCTAACCTTGAACTCTTGATTTTTGCCTTTCTCCAGGAGATTTATGGCTCTCTGGTGCGACGCCTCCAGCTGTGCTTTCATATCTTGGCTCTGCTTAATGGTGTCCTGAAGATCTTGCAAAAGCTTTTCTTTCTCTCTAGTGGACTGTAGTTCCTGTTGTCTGAGAGCCTCTCTGAAAGCACTGGCTTGCTGTTCTAAAGTTTGCTTCAGTTCTGTGACCTTCAAATATTAGAATTGAGTGAGACACAGTCATTAAATACTGCAATTGCCTACTTAAAAATATCACAAATTATTTTGAGCATGATGTATTCAAGAGACCTGACCCACGATTTCTGCAATCTTTGAAAAGGTAATGCTTTAACAAACTGGCACTCATGTGTTTCTACCACATTTCTTTTTAAAAACTGAGATCAGAAAGCTCTGCTTGACTTGAAAAAAGGCCTATTTCCAATGCATGAATATCAATATGAGTCTAACAATTAAAGTCATGATTGCTGTTACTATGTGCTTTTAGTTGATTCTGTTTTATAACAACAGCATCAAAGGATTCTTTTTTTATTCAGAAGAGGTTTGCCATTGTCTTTCTCTAAGGCTGAATCTACACTCCCATGTAATCCAGTTTCTAAATCTAGATTATCTGCATTGAAGTAGATTATATAAGTCTACACTGCTATATAATTCCGTTTAAAACCAAATAATCTGGATTCAGAAAATGGATTATATGGCAGTGTAGATGGGTCCTGAGAGAGTATGACTTAACCAAGGTCACCAAGTGGGTTTCCATGGCTTAGCGAGGATTCAAATATTGGTCCCTTGAAGTACATCCAACACTCTGACTTTTACATTATAGCAATTTGTGCTCAGTGTCTTCGGAATTTTGATTAAAGAAAACAAGTTGCTTTGAGTCCCTATATTGCCAGAATGATGGATAAAATAATATTAATATTAATATTAATAATAATAATAATAATAATAAATTATTAACGTTAACCAGGATTGGCATCTATCCTAACTTAATCCTATGTCCTCTATTTATTCCAGTGGTTCCCAGCCTGGGTCCGTGGACCACCAGTGGTCTGCGAAAATGAAAATATGGTCCACAGCCTCACCATTACTACGCTGTTGCCGCAAAACCACGTAGCAACAAGAGCGACTGGTCTTGCAAAACCCTCTTATAGTGCCGAGACAACAGGGATGTCGGGAGGGAGGGGCTGACTATCCATGAAATATTACTACTAACACATCAGCTCTAGATTAAAAAATATGTTTTTTTGTGAGAGAGCAGATGGTGACTACTAGATGCCATATGCTCTGTATCAGAAACTAGAGCTGATGCAGTCTATCCAATGCAATTTTCTGAATCAACACCCCAAATAACCAAATCTAATCTAAAGTTGACCAAAAACCGATTCGTAACCCTTTTGGTATTAATGTTGGAGAGTGGTCCCTGGTCAAAGAGATCCCTGTTCAAGCAGTTCCTGGTCAAGTGGTCCCTGGTCAAAAAAAGTTTGGGAACCACTGATTTATTCAAACCTAAAGTCTAGAACTGGAAAATCTAATAGACATACATATTTTATACTCTCTGAATATCAGATGAGGGAGCTACTGTTTCGTCTACTGATTAATGTCTGAATTACAACTATGCACGGCCAAAAAATAGTTTCACAGCTATCAGTTCATCAGGGATCAGGAGAAAGAAGGAACCAAGAGGATTATATGTGACCCTACAGTGTGTAGACTAGGTCTTCTAGCTGACAAAACTGTGTCCTCAGACTGTCTATAGCTGCTGCTTTTGTGACTGTCACTAATTATCTAGCAGGTAGCCATTTCTCCTCAGAAGCTTCTGCCACTGCACATGTTCCCAGGAAGCTCCTCATTTCCTGGTGAGAAGAAAATCTATTATTTAGTTTTTAAAATTCTAATTCTGATATTAAATATTTATATTCAGGCCAGGTAGCACTCTGGAGGTGGATCAGACAACACCATGAATAAAAGAAATATAGCCAGTTAGGAAAAAAAATGTGCCTTACTTGTCTTGACTTGAGCAACTTACAGTAACTGAACTTGGCAAGTAGCATTTTTTAAGTCAATAGTGATGCGTAAGATAGTTACAGGAATGAGGATAAGTCTCTTCAATAAACCTTCCTTTCCAGAGAAGACATTAACCTATGAATCCAGGTTATCTATGACAAACTTGGAGGAGAGAAGGCCACAATATAACCCCAGAGACACCTCCTGGACATGGACCAGTCTGTTAATTTACAATATAAAGTGGAGCTGTCACTAAGATAATTTTGGTTCAATGTAACTTTGCAACCTAATTCAGAACAGTGAAAAACAATTGTTTGATAGAAATATAAAAATGCAGAATTCAAAAAGGTAGTGTTGGTCATCGTGTTTACAGCGCTACAAAGATAACCCACATGAACATGTGCTGATATATATTCTGGATCAAAGCACTTGCTACACATTTGATATTCCATGAAGCAAGCAGATGTGTAACTTAAGAAGGCCCATTTATATTATGTTTTAGTATCATGGGATTTGTATTTATTGTTGTTAACTGTGGACAAGTCAACTTTGACCTCTGACAACTCTTGGGATGGGACGGATATATGTTATAGGTGTTAACCTATAAAGCCCTAAACGACTCCAGCCCAGTTTACCTGTCCGAACGTATTCTCCCCTATGAACCATCAAGATTGCTAAGATCGTCTGGAGGGGCCCTGCTCTCGGTCCCACCAGCCTCACAAGCGCGTCTGGTGGGGACAAGGGACAGGGCCTTCTCGGTGGTGGCCCCTCGACTCTGGAACTCCCTTCCACTGGAGATCAGAACGGCCCCCTCTATCTTGACATTCAGAAAACAGGTGAAAACTTGGCTCTGGAAACTGGCATTCGAAGAATGAGTCAAGTCCTGTGATATGGGTGGATATCGATGAATTATGACTTTATGATGACTGACCATTGCAATCGTATTTGTTTTTAATGTCTTAGTGTAATCTGGAATACGATGTTTTTAATGATTGTTGTAATATTGTTGTTGGAAACTCGATGGAGGTGAGAAGACCGGTATACAAAACTACTAAATAAATAAATAAATAAATATATCTAAATATTTTTTAAATGAATGAAATATCTGATTTTTACTATTCTCCCCCCCTCCCCCCAAAAAACCCTTTGAAAGAAAAAGCCAAGCCAACTTGATTTACACCTCCTGATGAATGGCTATGTGTTCAGTTTTCAAAAACAAGGGATGCCTTGCTGACTTCTAAGATAGTGCTGGCAAGGTTTGTGTTCAAACTCCCATTCAAGAAAGTGTTGTCTATCTTTACCCTTAGAGGTAAGCACACATGACATATTATTCGGAGCTGAGAAGCAAATGCAGGCAGTCCTCAAGTTACAAATGATTCATGGTTAAGAACGGGGATGAGACAAGAAAAAGTGAGAGGAATCCACCCCTCCAAAGAAAAATTCACTCCAGAAAGAGTTATCATGGGGAAAAGGTGTCTAAACTGATACTTTCTCACCAATCCTTGTTTCCAGAACAAGCCATTTTTTTTTCAAAATTCAATTGTCACAGAGACAGAAAGTGAGGTGAGATGTTCTGAACAGGGGCACAAATAACAAAACATATGCCACACAGGTGTTAACCTTTCTCCATTCTATCCAAATCATTCTCTCATACACACACACATACACACACACGGCTGGAGTCACACTTGCAATATATACCTGTTCTGACTTACATACACATTCAACTTAAGAACAAGCCTACAGAACCTATCTTGTTCATAACTTGGTGACAGCCTATATGGATTTCTCTTTAGCTTTTTCCACTCTAGATTTCCCAGGTTTTATGGAACTCTTGACCACAATGGCTGGGGATGATGAGTGCTATAGTTCTGCAGTGGTCGCGAAACCTGGACAGTGCATGTGCACACATGAACAGTGCATGTGCACAATTTTTGTGTGTGTTGAGAAACTGCAAGTCGCTTCTGGTGTGAGATAATTGGCTGTCTGAAAGGACGTTGCCCAGGGGATGCCCAGATGTTTTTTGAAGCCTCCTTGTGGGAGGCTTCTCTCATGTCCCCGCAGCTGACAGAGGGAGCTCATCCATGCTCTCCCTGGATTCGAACTTCTGACCTGTCGGTCTTCAGTCCTGCCAGCACAAGGGTTTAACCCACTGTGCCACCACATGTGCAGAATGATATCATGGTTGTGGGAGGAGGACCTTGCATCCCACAGCTAAGTAAGTTGGTCATTATGTTTATGTACACATTTGATGTTCACAATGTTGAGCTGTACATATGTAACTGGCTTGTTATTTAAAGGAATGCATTTGTTATAAAATATCAATACAGAATTTGCCACTGTACTTGAGCTTGCAATTCTGCCTTTTGGTAGTACCATTCCTCTTGCAAAGCTTGCATTTCCTTGCTTTTCTCTTTCTGAAAGCTTGTAAGTGTCTGCCTGTCTTCTCTTTTTGGCGCCCCTCCAGAGTCCAACCTAGAAAAAACAGCATTTATCTTGTTAAGAAAGAATATTAACATATTTCAATGGAATACTTCCCAGACATGTCAAGCACAAGGCTACCTTATTATGAAGGTTATTGCTCTTGGCAAAAGCTTAGCACTGCTGTGACTCCCTCCCCACCCCAATACCTTTGTTTCTCTTCATTTCTGTTACTGGTTGGAGTTGAAGGGTTTTCTCTGCCTTTTGCTCTCTCTTTCTGATGCTTAGATGCATCTTTTTGTTGTGCAAATGCCTCCTGCAACTAAAGGATAAATGCAAAGATAAATCCTTATTATTAAGGAGCTGTTGTAGTTTGTACACAGTCTCTTCTACATTAAACATAATAAAAATTGAGAATAATCGCATGTTCCCTCCCTTGCCACTACTTTCCAACCCACTCTTTTTAGTGAGTCATTAGGAGCAGAAAGTCCCCATAGCTGAAAATAATGAGATATCCGTAATCTTGTTACTTGCAATGAATTCCTGTGTCTGGATAACAAGAACGTTAACAACACAACATATCAAAATCAATGCAGCACGCAGCATCTGGATTCATGTGTAGTAGCAACAACAAACAAGTAATACTATAAGGGTATTTTAAGGCAGTCAGGGGTGACTGGAATGAAACTTTTTAAGCTTGATTGATGTTCTATTGAACATTTTAAAATATCATGAAAATATCATTGTTATTCATTATGCCAGTACCCCTGATAACACTGTCCTTAGTAACAATAACAACAGTTTAAAAATTGCTGCAGTACATAACAGTGATGTGCATTGTTATTTTGTTGTTGTTGTTGTTGTTGTTGTTGTTGTTGTGTCCCTTCTAATCATTTCTGACTGATGAGAGCTTAAAGCAACCCCAACACAGGTTTTGTTGCCAAGATTTGTTCAGAAAGGTTTTGTTATGGCTCCATCAGGGATGTTTTGCCCAAGATCACCCAATAGGTTTCCATGGCCAAGGGAGGATCTGAGCCCTGATCTCCCAGAATACTAATCCAGCACTCAAACCACTACACACACTGAATCTGGTGATGAATCACTTTCCTTTAACAGTAAAATTAACTTTCCAAACTTCCCCTACCTTCTATTTTTTCCAGTTAATAAGATAAAGAACTGGGTTGCTGTGAGTTTTTCGGGCTGCATGGCCATTTTCCAGCAGAACATTTTGCCTGCATCTGTGGCTGGCATCTTCAGGGGTTCTGTTGGCAGTGAAGCAAGTGGAGTGTGTGTGTGTATCTGGAATATCCAGGGTGGGAGAAAGAACCCATGTCTGTTTACAGAATGTTGCAATTAGCAAGCTTGAATTAGCATTTGAGTAGCCATGGAGTTTGCAAAGTCAATCAGTGAGGGTGTCTGCATAGAGTAGTCTGTCCTTTGTTGTCTGGAGGCATCCTCTGTTTGGGAGGTGTTACCTGGCTTTTGGTTTTTGTTGTCTGGTTCTCTCCTGTTTCTGAGTGGTGTTCATTATTTACTGTCTTAATTTAGGTGGTTTTTAAAATATTCATAACCAGATTGTGTTCATTTTCATGGTTTCCTTCATTCTACTGAAACTGTCCATGCGCTTGGGGATTTCGATGGTTTCTCTGTGTAGTCTAACAATGGTTGTCAGAGTGGTCCAGAATTTCTGGGTTCGCAAATAATATTCTGTGCCCAGGTTGGTTCATCATGTGCTCTGCTACAGCTGAATTCTCTGGTTGAATTAGTCTGCAGTGCCTTTTGTGTTCTTTGATTTGTGTTTGGGCCCTATGTAGACTTGTCCACAGCTGCACAGTATATGGTAGATTTCTGCAGTGGTTTGAGGATCCCTCTTATCCTTTGATGAACATAAAATCAAGGGCCAGTTAATACCTCCCAAACAGAGGGTGCTTCCAGGCAACAAAGGCCAGGCTACCTCTATGCACTGATTGACTTTGCAAACTCAATGGCTACTCAAATGCTAATTCAAGCTTGCTAACTCCAACAGACAAGGGTTCTTCCTCCTACCCTGGATATTCCACAGATATATATACACTCCACTTGCCTCACTGCCAACAGAACCTCTCAAGGTGCCAGCCACAGAGGCAAACAAAGCATCAGGAGAGAATGCTGCTGGAACATGGCCATACAGCCCAAAAACTCACAGCAACCCAGTGATTCTGGCCATGGAAGCCTTCAACAATACAAGATGAATAACTTTTTGCTTCGTCTCTTGTCACAACTGCCTTGCACCCCATTTTTCAGAAGGTAGGATATAAAGTACAGTAAGTATTCTTTACTGGGCTAATTTCAGTCAGATTGGTGTGGATGAGAACATAGTCAAGTTCTTGACAAGATCTAGTAGCTCTGTGTTCTTTTTTCAAACTTAATTCTCTTGGTCTTCCTTGAACCTATTTGACCTTTAGTACCAGGATATAAATGACTACATCCATTTGACTCATTTTCCTTGCTAGTTTCACATGGAGAGAGACACTGTTAAACAGTTTTCTTAATTTAGATGGATTCATATCCAGACACTCAGAAATGGCACAGCTTAAGGACACGTGGGGACAGGATCATATGCACGTGGGGACAGGATCATAAATCATACATAAAAAGCTAAAAGCAGAAGTATGGTAATCTAATATGGATGTATTAAATAGCACTGAGCCAAAACTATCCATCCAAGATACAATTGTATGGTTGAAAATAGGTTCTGTGTCCATTTATGTAGTGACATATATTTTTATGATTGTGCCCATGCTCATAAGCCCATGAGAGTAATTTTACACCCTTGAAAGCTGCTTGTTTTGTTGCTTTATGCCTTCAAGTTGACTAGTGACATTCTCATAGGGCTTTCTTGGCAAGATGTGTTCGGAGATTTAATATTGCTTTTCTCTGAAACTGAAAGAATGTGAAAGAATGGGTTTCCATGTCTGAATGGGGGTTTCCTCCCTAGTCTCCCTGAGCCCCAATCCAACAGTAAAACAACCTCTCGCTATATAGGCTCTCAGTCAAGCAAATCCAAACTCTGGAAAGTTATTTAGCCCATCTAAGGAAACTTCATTCAGCTTTCCTTCTATATAATCCAAGTCAGTTCTCTTCAGCTTTCAAGACACTATCTTGAACTTAATTATCAGTTCTGAACAGTTTCTGAGCCATTCGTAATTCCCTTTGCTTTTGAGGTACCGCCTGCCTGTATTGCTTCTGAACTGGTTTTATTTGACCAGCAATTCTCCTGAAAATGGGAATACTATTACTACTACTACTGATGATGGTGGTGGTAATAATAATAATAATAATAATAATAATAATAATAATAATAATTTCTTTATCCAACCCATTATCTCCAGGCGTTCATTTAGAGGAGACATACTATCCTTAGTTGTTTTTAAAAGCATGGAGAAATATCTTTGAGTGTCATCAGCATATTGATAGTATCCTGCCCATGCCTCCAGATGATCTCTCCCAGTGGTTTCATATAAATGTTAAAAAGCATTGGGGAGAGAATGGCACCTTGTGGGATGCCATATAACAGGTTGAGGAGTAGCTATCCCCAATCATCACATCTGGAAGCTGTCTGCAAGGTAGGAACTGAACCACTGCAACACAGCACCTCTGCTTCCCAGCCCCTCCAAGTGTCCAAGGATGTTGTGAACGCGAGAATAACCAGACGGGAGGCAGGGTGTAGAAGTGAATGATGATGACCTTTTTATTGTTCCCTAAGCAAAGCTTATATAGGTTTTTGTGCTCTTTAGCAAAGTCTGCATAGCAACAGTGGGGGATTACATAATTGTCAAGTGATTGGTTGGACTCTCAAGGGTGAGGTAATCTGCAGGTAAGGTCAGCAACAGGTGATGTCATCCTTCCTGTCTTCAAGGGTAGTGTCCATACATGGTCAGTTGGTTAGGAACAGTGTATGCATCTGGGGAGGGCGGCCTGCCTCCAGTCCCAGGTCATGATGCCCCCTGCATCCCCTTGCCAGAAAGGTGTGGAGCATAAGTGTCAGAGGACTGGAATCTGCAACGTTCCCTTCGGAGGTATGGTTTGCCAGTCCCCCCTAGTGGTCTATTGCCATTCCTGCACTTCTGCACTTAGGACACAATGGTGTCTCCCCTATATAGATGACATTAATAATGATAATGTCCCTTCATCCCCCCTTTTTTTGTTTGTTTTAATAACAATTTGTATGTATAAAGGACATCACGCCTGGGAGGGGCTTGTAGGGGCCGTGGCTGGTAAAGCTGTCACAGGGATGGGATATATTGAATGTAGCAACAGCATATGATCAAATAGCCAGACAATAGTAAAGCAATTTGAACTGTTTTTTTGATTCAGTCGACAGGAAGCCAGGTCATATATTAGGATATCATTTTGAGGCAGCAGGGAAAGGTCAGCAGAGCGTGAGGCTAGCAAGAAGCTTATAACAATGGTATATATATCAAATGTAGCAATAGCAGATTATTATATAGGCCATCAATAGCTGTGTAGAGTAAACAAATTAGATAATAAAAGTTTTACCAAGCAGGTATAGTGTTTTGCTTATTATGTTAAGCTAAGTCTTTAAAAAACAACATGCATAAATATTTTGTTGAAGTTTGAAACAACACATAGAATTGACTGGAGGGTGAATGGGATTTTGGAGGCCTTGGTGCCACGTCATCTTTCCAGGGGCAAATGTAGCGAGCAGGAACTCAAAGCGCTTGATTGAAGAAGCCAATGACAGAGAGTGTGTGATTGAACAATGTTGTCAAAAAGCAAGTCATGTTTGTTAAAGTTTATAGGTTTATGACAGCCGAAGCAGGAACTCTTGGTTTTTGGCAGGGGGTTGGATTGGATGGCCCATGAGGTCTCTTTTAACTCCTTGACTCTATGACTTTAACTCAAATCGACCCGTCACAGCAGTATTTTTGACTTCAGGCGATGAGGGGAGCTGGGCCTTTTTATTCCGGATCTGGCAACCTGTATCAAGGGAGTGAAAGGGGGTAGGGAGAGAGAAATGCTTCTGGATCCTGGTAACGAAAGAAGAATCAGATAAAATTAAATTTAAATGATTAATGGCAAATAACACATATAGGAAGGCCATTGCTGGAAAACCGTTGGAAAGCGAAAGCAAAAGAGCAGCGAAAAGGCCAGGGGGTGACTCCCCCTTTTTTGTTTGTGTGTGAGAAGAAGCAGATGGTCTGTAGAGGTATGATTTGGAGCAATCTCGTTTTGTGTGGCCATCATAGGGAATGTTAAAGATGTGGGCAGAACATTGTGAACTTAGCATTGTAATATAAGGTATGTTGTAGTAGAGATGTT